TTTCACTTTATTGCAAGAAAAAGGAAATAGGTTGCAATTTTTACTGCATTAAAAATTGCTTATCTTTTAGACCCGCACGGATTTCATTTTGTAATTTTTAAGCGCTCAGCCGATAGGCATCGCTTTTTGATTTCGACTTGCCTCAAGAATACTAGTATACTAGTGCTAATTCGTTTAAATGGCGCACCAGCTCATCGATGTGTAGACTTTTTGGGGGGGGGGTCCAGTTTTAAAATAAATAAAGCTGTGATAACCGTATTTTATGCTTTTAACGTAATGCGCGGGTAGTTACGATCGTTTGTCTATAAGAAATTTCCTTAGCGGTAGAGTAGGTAATTCTTATCGAAATGGATCGTTGAAAATAAAAGAAGCCTAAAAAAAACGCGCCTGATGAGCTCAACGGTGGCTATCATTTTCGGGAAACGAAAAAACGCGTTTACGGTTTCCTTGGTAACCTTTGTTTGCTATCAGCTGATGTTTTATTTCCATTTCCCAGCCAAGTCGACGGAGTTTATACTTCCTTTCTTCACTAAATACATTTACTAACACCTGAGCGCTTTTCTAATACGACAGTAATAGAACTTTCCCGCTTTTTTTTTTTTAAATCGGAATTTATCGACCGAATAATGTGAGGATATTACAATTACGTGATGGAAAAATTTAAATTTTATTGTTTTTTATGACAATATTATTTCACTGTGCTACTAAAGAGAGAGAGGGCTTTGAGGTACCTCACGGTTGCTGTTCGAAATTAAATAGGTGACAACCTAACTTTAATCCATGAGTAATAGGTCTATAGGTATAAACAACCGAAATGGAGAATTTGATCATTTTCTTTAATTTAGAATATAGGCCAAAAAAGAAAGAGTACATTTTTTATGGAATTTCTTATTTAATTTCTTTCGTGGTTTTAAATCATTGCAGTCAGTAATTTCTAGAACATAACTTTCATGCACATAAAGCTCACAATTATGTCCATTTACTCTCACTTTGTTGAAAAATTATCATCAGGTAGTTGTATCACGGGTAACTTACAAGTGCTAAGAGAAGGAAGCCCAAAAATCTTAAAAAAGTGTCCCTTATCAAAACTTGAAATTAGAAAAAAAAAAAACCTCAAAAATTCAGATTCACTAGAAAAGCGTGGGTAGTTTCGCAAGAGTAATGTTCAGGAATTCATAATGTTTATTATTCCACCATTGTTAAAATAGTAATAGTATAACAATATAATAATAATTCTGTCATCAGGCTTTTCAATAACCTCCCCTTGAAATTAAGACAACTATTGAAAGACTGGGAGGTTAACGCTTTTTTCATGGGGTTAAAAACCTTGTTGTTGTTGTAGTTTGTGAGGCATTTTATTATTCTCTAAATGATTTTTATAATGATGTTTAAAATGTACATTTTGGAGGGTTTTTACTAATAAGCATGTTTTTACACTACGCTTGTGTCATTCGTGTACTCTAATGTAAATAAATAAATACAAATAAAAGTAATTCTTAGGTTTGCTAGAGGATTAAACAATCTGTGCCAGTGTGCGCTAGCGCAAAGAAAACGTAAGAGTCAGATTTCCTGAATAGAAATCATATCTTCCTTCTTTCTTCCCTCTTTTCATGGCTGCGATGCTATGAGAGTGGGTATAATTTACTCGCAAAGCTACCAGAAATTACATGCAAGCTGAGACTTAGAGTACTCTTAACATCGTTTAGCCTTGAGACTCCAAGTCTTGAGGTAGCCAAAAAAAATCTTTGGTCGTGGCTGTTCTAGGGCGTCAAAGGCCAGAGTTGCATTGTCCATTGTCCACCATTGTCTCTAAGCATTTATTAGACTCCTCCAATGAGCTCTCAATCAACTTGAGTGACATCCCATGATGCTGTTTCAAGATTCTGCAAGTTTTTGACGGACTACCTTTTTGAATACACCTTATGGTTAGGCGCAGATTTTTGTTGCAATAGAATGGACTACCAAGCAGGTTGAAAACTAAGCATCACAATGTATGTTTCTTGAGCGTAATCTTGCGTCGAAAACGTAAAAATAGCCAAAGTCAATTGGACTTCATTTTGCAATCAGGAACTATAATGCGGTGAGAATTTCTAGTTCGTTTTAGTGACAGCATACGTGACATTAATTTTCATATACAGATATGTAATTCTGTGGTGAGCCAGAAATAGCAGTTCTTTGTGCCAAATGAAATCCTATCGTGTGGATAAAATGTGTGCAGTGAGTACAAAATTTACACTGTTGTAATTTTTAATTGATCAGCACAAAAATATTAAGCTTAAAAAGTGGGCAAAAATAAGAATTTCATATTCGCAACGATATATCACCAAAAACAGTTGTGAATTGAAGAAAAAAATTACAACGGAAGCGAAGGTTTTGAATCAACCGCAATGAAATGTCTGGGTTTCCGAAGGAAAAGGTGTCAACTTTTTTTTGAGGCTTTTCCAACGAGGGATAAACACGGGAATCGGGGAGGAACAATGGGTGAACCAGAAATAGTAATTGTATTTTTACAATATTTTAATTGAAAATTATCTATAATTTTGCAAAATGTATGGAAATTGGGGACGACCAGTGAAAGGGTGGCGACAGGGGGCTTTTAAATGAGATGAGAGAATGCCAACTCCTTGACGGGTTGTGGGAGGATCGAGTTTTGTGGCGATTAGGCGTCGCAGAGCGCCAGAGAGCGCTGTGGAAGCGACTCGTAAATGAAAATTGTACTGTATTGCAAAACGTAGTTCAATACATATTATAAGAAATGATCGTATTCTGTATTCGCCAATACTGGCCAGTGCTTTCGTATGGACAAGCATGAGCTTAAAGCTCGTAGGTAATAAATCCGTAATTTTCTCGTACTGTTTTCATTAGTATATCCAGTAAATAAAGACAAGAATTAAAACCAAGACGAAACGAAGCAAAAGTTTACAATAATAGAGTTGTCACATGTGAGCAATACGTTTGCCGCCGTCTTTCGCAACATATTTTTCATTAGTATAAACTGATCTATATTGCGATAGTACTGATTTGTCTGTCTGCCTTTCCGTTTGGCCGAATCAATGGCCATGTGTCACACTTCTTTATTAACTGCGTCTGAGGAACTCAATCAGCGGGAGAGCAAATTTTTCTCTTCATGACTCTCCTGACACGTACGTTTTAATTCAAGCGTTACGTTTAATTGCCTTTATGTTTTGCGCGGCGTTGCCACGTTTCGATTTTAACTTGATTTGACCGATGTCGAGTATGAGCGCAACCCATTTCGGCAAAATCCCAATCAAATCCCCATCCAAAAGAAGGAGATGTTACGGCACACAGAATCAAATAAGACGTGGGCGGGAAATGGCCCGATTTGGCACAAAATAATCGTCATATTGCTTTTATATTAAAGTTGAATCATGCATTTACAGCCCAATACTTAACCTGTTCTTGTACTTGTTCAACTTAATAAAACCAACATGCAGATTATTTTGTGCGGAATGGGGTCATTTCTCCCTCCCCCCCCCAGATCTTACTTGATTCTGTGTGCCAAAACGTCTCCTTTTTTTGCCGACTTGGGATAAATTTGCCGAAATGGGAATCAGCCGTCCATTATTTATGAAAGTATTGAAAGTTGTTGGTAGGTTTCTAAAACTACTCAAAAAGGAGAGCGATTCTCCGGGGAGTCAAAGAGCTTGCAGCATTACTCCCATGATAAGGAAGAATGCCGTATGAGCCTTCAGACGTTGCCAAGTTTCCTCGGATGAAAACTGTATTTGCTAGGAAAATTGTGAATATTAATTTCCAAAATTTTCAAACAATTTTGTACGAAATTTAATCTAGAATATCTGAAAATTTCAAGGAAAAATAAGCTTTTATTGCGTCAAAAATACACGTTTTATCGAGGGAAATTTGGCAATTCTAAAATTTTCATACGGCGTTCTTCCTTAGCACGGCGGATTATTCGAACGGATTCAAGCGGAATTAGCCTAACTACATTTGGACAGAGTTTATCGGAAAGGAACCAACCCTTATTTTCAGAAAAATTGAGTTGAGGATGTTTTTGAGTTCCACTAGCCGTATATTTTTTCCTGCCAAAATCTGAAAGTCGGAAAATAGAAAATAGTTTGTGAAAAGAGGGGTTGAAGTTTGTTCTCTGCATGGAGCCATATGCAGGAGTAAAACTTCAAACCTCTTTTTCTAAGTTTCAACTTAGTGTGGCTTGGTTCCTTTCTGATGAACTCGGTCCATTTCACGGAGCTCAGTTTCGTCTTCAGTTTTATTGCGTCAATATATAGAGAACCAAATAACATAACGCTTAAAAATCTGCCACACATTTCCCGCGGCTTATATTACTCTATAATATAACGTCATGAGAATAACGCGTAACGCTTAACACCCAAGGCACGAAGCCGTTGATCGGAGCGCTGGACTGCGCAGCGGTCAGGCGGATATAAAGAATGTTTTCACAAAATTTCAAGTCAGAATGTTGATTACTTTTCTCTCCAAAAATAGAATATCCAAGGAGGTGAAGCAACGTCTAGGGTAGATAGGTTGATACTGGTTCGATCCATCCAACGGAGAATTTGCACACAAAAATTGTATTGCTTTATTCGAGGGTGCCTAATGAGCTGAGTTTACAGTATTTTTCATAATTTTTTTCTGCGCGGGAAATTGGCGAAAAATGGTTTTAAATGCGTGACAATTCGCCATGTGACGTCATCTGAGGGCATTCTCCATTTAACCACATGCACATGTATTTTAGCAAATTAGGTTATTTTGTCTTATTTTCTCAAATATTTGTTCAATGTAGAAAGCAAGGATATCCTAGTACTTGGTTTTCCTAGTGGTACCATTTTAAAGATGAAATTCACGAAATTTAAGACACCTGCAAATTCTCTATTGCCGTGATCGTTGAAAAAAAATAAGAAAAGTCGTCAAAAATTAGAAATTTTGAAGGAACCCACTCGTCGGTTCCCGAAAAATGATACAATTCTTAATCAATTAATATGCACATCTATAACACTCACATGATTGAGGAGAGTCATGGTTGGAAAATCCTTTGGAACACACTGTACACATTCACGTCGACACAGCGTAAACCGACCCGACAAGCGCGCGACGAGACCGAAAAAAGCGTTAACAACGACGTTAACAAGCAGCAAGCCCGCGGCGATGAACTGAGCGTGTGAAACCCTTATCTGGGAATTAGGATATTATATACGACAAAAACAATGCGCGAAGCCTCAAGTCCAGAGCTCGTCCCAGAAATTGTGATGCAATTGAGGCAATAACTCTGTACACATCTGATCCCGCGATGTGGGAATCTGCCGCGAGAGGCGCCGCGACGCGGTGCTTTTGGGAAAAAAGGCGTAAGTCCATTCGGTACCATGACCTCGGTAGGCGAAAGCATACGTGCGCAAGAGGGTTTATCTTGAATCTCAGTTGCGTCCTTTCGGAAAGTGGCCGGTTGACTCGGATTTGCTAAAACTCAATCTGAATTATTAGCGGCTGGTGATCATATTTGCATGTGAGGAGTGTGTGGTGGATACCGATTCCATGTGACGAAATGGGATTCCTGCATTTTGACGGAGTGTGAAACGTCTGGTTCTGAATTGAGATCATGTTGCTCACATAGTTGGATAGTTGGGTAGATTAAGATCTATCTATCTGCAGGTATTCTAAGATCTTTCTACCTATGAATAGATAGAGATCCGTCTATCTATACATACATTAAGATTTATCTATCTATAAAACACACAAAAAGCAAAATCAGTGAGAAACAAGTCTATAATTATACAAACAACTCGGGACGTTTCAGCCTGGTTTTCCATAGGTCATCATCGACCGAAAAATAAACATTTCAAAAAATAAAGCTAAAAAATCTGAAATTCACCTATGCAATTTAAACAAAATTTACCAAAGACAGAGGAATATAAAAAAAAACAAGCAGAAAAATCCAACATGAATATGTTGGAAAAGCGTGCCGAACGACTAAAATGTTGGACACATACCTACTATTTTCACGTCTTTGTTATTTGCATCAATTGGTACTTTTTGCTAAATTTGGGAGAAAATATTGATTCATGAACGTTGAATGTAAATTGATTTTAAAGATTCCGTCCAATTATCTTGATTTTAAGCTGATATGCGGCATTTCGCACGACCGTGATTTGGGCGAACTGCCGTGCATCGAAATCGCGTTGAGTTAATCTCTTTGGATTTCGAACTGTAACTTCTCTCCTATTCGGCCGATTTTTACAAATGAGGTCTCTTTTTATTTGCACTTTAACGGAAAGTAAGGAAAAACTCGTTAAATAGACGGAAAACAATTTTTGTGAAAATTTGGTGGATCCTGGCGTCACGGTGAATGGTTAATCGGGCGTGGAAAATAATAGGTTCGACGAGGCGACCCTCTCCTCGCCGTCTTTTATTGCCTTGCTCGAAACCTGACACCCAAAGCTATATCGGAAGATAACTGCAGTGGTTTGAGTGGATTTCTGCAGGGGCCACGGTTAGTACATGGTATAAAGAGTCACGAGGCTCATCACAGATTGCACTTGCAGTGCAAGACGCTCATTGGCTAAACAGTTTTGGCGGGAAAGAAGGTTCTAGAGTTGAGTCCTCCGAGCGTAAGAAAGCTTCTATGAGGTTTTTGTCAAATGAAATAATACGGTTTTGACAGGAAAATGTTCTCAAGGGTTCCCAATTAGCAGTTCATTCGGTTTTTTGGTAAGAGACCATAAGGTTCAAACCGGTATGATGAGTCATAACAGTATAATGGTTCAAAGACAAGAAAACGGGTCCGAGGAAAAAAATATTTGGACGGCCCGTTGAATAGCATTGGCTGATCGGTGTGCTGTACTATGGTACATCCGAGTGATTTCAAAAAGCGAGCCCTACTGGCACGCTTAAAATCCTTTGCATAGCAAAAATCAGATCTATTTTTTTGTAATTGTTTTTGTGGGTTACTTTGGAGTACATTTTGCAATTCAGAATCATTATTCTTGACATACGTTACAAAAAATATAAGTGCATGTAGTTTTCCAAAGCAGACGGGTGTTTTAAAGGATAAACTCTAGACATGTTGGCTCTTTATTACTGCAAAATTAACTCCAATTAACCTACTAATCAGAGCCTCTCTGATAACATTCCCAAGTCGGTATAGCCTCGAGTGATTTGACCCTTTCATCTGTTTGAATTTAAAAAAAAATTCCCGTTTACCGTTTGCATGGGTACAAACGAATAACAGTGGTATAATTCTTAGACTGTGTAGCATGATCTGCTTTCCAGGAAATGTAGTATCAAGTGAGTAGATCTCTGACGATGCAAACGATGCGTCCAGTAGATCTAGTATATACACGCATTGTCGCGGCGTTTGCAAAAATTGATCCGTTGATTAGTTCGCATTCTGCGGGTGGGTAAACAAAAAAAAGCACCAAAAAAAACAAAAAAAAATGGGAAAAAATAAAATAATTTTATTAGTAAATAAGGTGTAGAGCAAGACAGCCCAAAAATTAGCTTTATTTTTCCCAACGTTGCTGTCGTAAGGAGTCAAATATTTCCTATGAATAACGTGTGCTGTTACTGCTAATGAATTTACAGGTGTTTAGTATGTATTCTAATAGATGTTGAAGGATTTTTAACTGCCATTTTTTGTCACATTTTTTTACTTGGGAGTTGCCAAAAAACGTTGCTTAATCTGACAATTTACCGCAGTGAATACGTACAAAGGAGGATGAAAAGTGAAGAATAAAAAAATGAAAATCTAAAAAAAAGGGACTTTAATATTCAGCACACTTAGCACTGTCACGGGACTTAAAATCGGTCGACACGAGACGGTGTGGCAGCGCAGACAGACGGTGCGCCGACCTTCCGTCGCGAAATCCCGTATAGTAGTGACTTTGACCTACACACATACACACACCAATCTGTATCAACTGCCCGCAACATTTATTAGACGGAGACAAAACTGGACGGACGGTTTCCCTTCCCCTCGAGACAATGTAAAATTTTAGTTATGTAATTCCTCGTTAGAGCACCTCACTTCGGCGCAAAATAACAATTCAATATAAGGTGCGGTCAGGAACTAGTTTTAATCCATTACGATTTCCGGATCATTCCGACCCGCTATAAACATATTCAACATCTCAGCTGCTTCAACCGACGCAAATTAGTCAAAGAGGGATCAAAATTGTGAAGGAAACTTGCAAAAAAAAAAAAAAATCATAAGTCTTGAGACGATCTTAGAAAAATCTTAATCTCTACTTATCAGCTTGATGATATTATAAAAATACCTCTGAGGTAATGGCTTTTTGGGTTTACCAATGAGAGGAAAGTCGAACTTGAAGTTGCGTTATCAAAAGCTCATTAATTTAAAAAAACCCCTACAGTGAATTCTGTGTAATTTAAAAGAGCATTTCCTATTTTACGATTTTGTTTAAAAGTATTCAAAGACACACTGAATAACACTTGAACGTATTTTACAGATATTACCGCTGCTCATTAAGTTTTAAAAAAAATAACTTTTTAAGTATTTAAAGAATCGGCGGGTAGATGCGGATTTATATAAAATCCGTTTACGCCTTTTATGCGTTGTTGTCAACGGCCGAAAATGCCTCCGTGTGTTAATTCACTGCCCACACCGAAGTAAATATATTTTTATAAAAAAACCATTCCGTCATCTTGATGCTAGCTCCTAAGATCCTTCAATTGCTTATTGAACTTTCATTAAGTATCGTTTCGAATTTAGTCGAAGGAAACCTTCACGGAAACTGTTCTCGTAATTTGAAAATGTTTCGTATTTTGGCAGATCCAGACTTAGTTTTAAAGATTAGAAATCGGTCTGAATACACTCTGCTATGAAAAAATAGTATATTCTCCATAAACCGCGACGCAATGGTCGATCATACATTTCACGTTGAGTCAGCTGGAGATGAATGGAGAGACTTTAACGCAAAGATAGAAAGATGAACAAGCACCAAAAAAGTATTCGCTTACCCAATAATATAGGAAGGTTTCCCGAAATTGTGAAGGAGCTACATAACTTTTGACATTAAAAGAGACTGAACTATTGAGTTAAGTTTTTTACATTCACTGATGATCAAGAATACTTCTCATAATGACTAAAAAATCGAGGACTTTCTGATTTGTATGAAATGTTTGTATTGAAACTAACAAACAATTATTACTACGTTCAGGCGTGCGCTGTTTTAGCTCAATGTAGATTAACAAATGTAAGTGAAAATTGTCCTACTATAGTGATGCATGACCCAGGAAAATCGTCATACAAGCATTCAGACGTTGCCAGATTACTGTTTATAAAACATCGAATTTTCAGAAATTCGTTTATTTATTTTCTTGAATTTTCCTGAAAGTTGTATCCTCGATAGGACTGCATTTTGCAATTAGGAACTACAATTTCTGGCCCGGTTTAGAAACACAGTAGTTTCTCCATGCACATAAGTGTTTTTACACATGAGCCACATACTGCACTTCCGAATTGCAAAATGCAGTCAAATTTAAAGCGTGGTAACTGAAAATTTCAGAGGCAACCACACTTATAAAAATATTTGTGTCCTTGTGTTACTGTTGGCTAATATAGGAGGTGAAACACAAACCAACACCAATTTTGTGTTGGTTTTGGGATAGTTTGCGGTCAATTCAGCGCAGAAAACAATGGAGAGCCTGGGAAAATGCATTCTTCCGATTGCAATGTTTGTATTCATGACTCGTTTTTTATTAAATTGCATCAAAAAAACTAGCTGGCATTTTCTCCTGAAATTGTCGACTAAACGCTCGAGATATTTTTGTGTTTTACTTCCCGTATGAACCAAACTTTTGTGTTGAAGTTTCCCTCAGTACATTCTTGATTTTCCCAAAAAACGGATTTGTCATCGGAAGGAGTAAGTATGATATAACATCTGAATGTTTACAATACGTTTTACCTCAGCATGGCCTAATCGTATGGAGCTTATTGTGAATTTTGACTAGATCTCAACGAACTAGTTTTTCTCGCTGCTGAGAATCTATTCACTGTGACTTCGGATCACGCGAGAAACTATTTTTAGGTTGTATAATTTTGCCCGATTCGCTGAAACTATGATGCCGTGCTAAGGAAGAACGCCGTATGAGCCTTCAGATGTTGCCAAATTTCCTTCGATAAAAACCGAATTTACTAGGAAAATTCTTAACATTTGTTTCCAACATTTCCAGACGATTATGTGCGCAATTTAGTCTAAAATATCTGAAAAATTTCAAGTGAAATATGCTTGAATTGCGTCAAAAATACATGCTATATCAAGGGAAATTTGGCAACTCTCGAATGTTCATACGGCGTTCTTCCTTAGCACGGCAGTATGACGCAAGCGAGAAATACGATTTCGGTGGATTTTGATGCGGATTAGACGGTTTGTAAACGCAATGCGAGCGCAGAGCAAACACAAGGTGTGAGACAGTTTAACGCATAAAGAATTAGACGGGCGTTTGTTATGACGGCGTCATCATGCAGCGCGCCGGGCCGAAATTGAAATCAAGAGTGGGAAAGATGACCGGATGCCAAACTTTGATATTAGAATATCGTGCTTCGTAAGCGCTTGAAAATTCAGCTTTTACGCCGTCATATCTGGCAGCGCGGAGCTGATAACTAAACCCGAACAGTGGAGAATAAATCAATGGATTTAAACTTGTACGCTTGGCCTATTTTCCGTGAGAACTTTGTGTCGCTTTTTCCCAGACTCGCACAGAGGAACTTCGATGGGTCAAGGCACCCGATGCCTACTTTAATTGCTATGATTTTTCTGGAGATCCACCGTTTGTTGTCTCGTTGTGCGTTTATTTGAATTTTGGTCAAAATGTTTTGATTCGTCAATGAATCTGAAACATCGATTGTTGAGGAATGAAAAATTAATACATTCCTAAATGGTCTAAATGTCAATGTGTGAGTATCAGTAGCGTGGCAAGATTTTCGATGAATCGATGTATCTGCTATTTAAACTTATGGAGAAGGATCGAAACACAAGTTCAATGACATTTCGTCACCGATTTTTTGTCCGAACACCTGGTTCTTCAAGTAGTTATGTCCACGCATTTTTTTTTCGGCAGGGGAGCTCGTGCCGTAGTACCTTTATTTATTTTGCAAGGAAAGCTCCGTACTCGTGAAGGATGCCTGTCATTCATAAAATGTTGGAGCGCCTTCAATTTCGTTTGATACTGTGCAACACCTCTGTTGTGAAATAGTTGCTTGAAGCGCCGTGGCATACGCTCCGGCGTGGCGCGGGCGGCTGGCCAACTCCCAACGTCCCCATTGACGCCTACAAACCTAAGGGGATACTTCAAGCATTGCGCAATGCGTGAAGTGTTTCCTTAGGTTTGAAGGCGTTAGTGCGCGTTTCGTGCCGGTAGCACGCCGCTTCGCTCTGTGTTCGGCTCTAATATTCAAAATCGCTGAGTCGGCGTTTTTCAGCTCATGATTTTGAATATTATGCACATTCTGCATGGATTTTCCTCATTTAAATTGATAAAAAAATGTATTAAAGGAAAATACAAAATGTCCTTTGTAAATATTAAGGTGGTTCCGTGTTAAATTTAAAGATCCCCCTGTAAAGACGTTAATAGCCTAAGATGCTGAATGTCTTTAAATAAAATATCTAACTAACTAACTTACTATATGAGCTCTCCGCTCTTCGACTCCCTGAGGTTTCATTTTCTGTCACAGTTTGTTGTACTGTTCCACCCAGTGAACTTCAATGATTTTAACAGCTATTGACTGGCGATGACCCGTAAAAGAGCCCGCTCTAATCAGATTTTGGAAATATGTCCCAGGTTTTATTTTCTTTACTTATACATATTGCATAATAAAGTTGGGAACCCTCCCATTTGAAGAATGTAAATAATCATTTTTTGTCATTTAGTTCTGAATATTTACCGGGCCAACTTCCATGGTGTTTTTGCGGCCGTCGATAGAAGATAGTTCCTAGAGGAGCCCGCTCTATTTATTGTTAGATTAACTCATCAAGGCCCGCGAAGAGGATCATAGAGTGCGTAGAGGTTAGACTGCGTTGCGACCAGGGAGCGGACTCGCTACCCGTGCCATGCTTTTACCAGTATAGGGCCATCTATAAATTATATAACGCTCTAGGGAGAGGAGGGAAGTCAAAGGGAGCGTTACGCCATTTTGTTTTTCATGTTAAAGGATAGAGGTCAACGTCACAAAAGCGTTACTAAAGGGGGGAGGGGGGTCCAAAAATGCCGAAAAAGTGCGTTACATATTATTTAGGAACAGCCCCATAAAATGACCTTCAGAATTAAAGTGTACGAATACTAACGTTGGATACAGTCCACCGCTTAAATTAAGCCAATTTTCTCCACTGTCTTGCCAGTCTTATTATTACTATCATCCCAAATGAAGGTTAAGAGTCCTAAATGTGTTAAATTAGGATCGAGCGACCCGAGTACATCAGATAGGAACCAACCCACATTTCCGAAAAAATTGTCAAGAAGGTTTTCGGGTTTCGCTCGTCGTATATATTTCCCTGCCAAAAACTCATATTCGAGAAAAAAAAAATTAGTCTCCGTTTAGAAGGGTTGAAGTTTATTTTCTACATTGAGCTTTATGAAGGAATAAAACTTTAAACGCTCTTTTTCTGAGTATCAACTTTATGTGGGTTGGTTCCTTTCCGTTCAACTCGGTTCAAGTATGAACCTTTCCCGCCTAGTATACCAGCCCCCCTCCTCCCCTTTTTCCAGGCGTTCAGTGGGCACCAGTTGAGCACCAAGCCCCCCTCTTCGATGATCAATCAGTTTGGACCGGGGTGTCGCGTCTCGGGCCCCATTGGATCGATTCTTATAAATCTAGTGCCATTTGGAGCACGCGAATCAATCGGAAATATGATCGGTCACGCGGCGGGAAATCTGTGCGAGGCGATTAAGCGTTCAATCAGCTACGGCACCTGAGGCGCGTTTATGAATGGACCAGGCCAGCCCCGCTCCTCCGGCCTTAACTTACTCACGTTTTAGTGCTTTCGAGTTCCCGCGTATATATTTCTAAGTTTAGCCATCAAATGGCTTCAAAGTATGTAAGTAATTTCCTAAAATCATTAGTTTTTTATTTATTTTTTTTTTAATTCTGTGACTATTGGAGCATATTTTTCAAGTTTATTTTATCATTTTTCAAAGTTTTTCACGCGTACTTGATTTATTGATTACATCATATCGGCGGTGTAAGTTGTCAATCACATAACTCGGTTTGCGACATCGCAGACTTCCTATCATACTTTATTTTTTAAACGAAAAACTACTCAACGACAATTCTTTAAAACTGCCGTGATTGTTCTTCTCTATGTGAAGAAAATTCTGCAAAAACTGCAAGAAATGATGTCAATTTGTTCTCCTTTAAACAAATATTATAGAGGCGGAGATTTTCAGACACCGCAAACGAGTTATGTGATTGCCGACTTACAACGTCGATATGCATATTCAGTGCGTGGGTTTTAGGTGCTGAACATCGATAATGCCCAAGCTCTCGGATGAATTTTTACGGATGCACTAGAACAGTTAATTTACTGATAATGTAGTCCAAATGCTCCACCCTTCATGAATGGATTTTCAGCAAATTACAGGGTCAGGGGGGAAAAAACTCGTTACGATTTATCTTAGGTTTTTTTTATGAATCCCTCACAATGCTACATTTCATATTATTGTAATATACTTCATTTACAGTGGCATCTGTATCCTCCTTTATTCATAAAACTCATAAACAACATTGACAAAAACATTTCAAAATTACTTCAAAGTTGATCGGACTCATCTTTTCTTGGAATGATTTTTGAATTTAAAATAGTTCAAATTATGTTAAGCATTGGAAATAGAAGCACCAATATCTTGAGTTTTAATTTAAGTCAAAGATAGGTAAACCAATGTGATAATGGTCAAAAGTTTGACACTTATAAGTTGACACAATAATAAGTTGACACTAAAAGTTGACACAATAGCTTCCTAAATCCTTGGTATTGAGCGTGCAACAAAAGTCCGGACTGAGAAAATGCCCGAAATATTTTATTTTATACATGTACGCTGAATTCTCAACATTTTCTCCAGACAAAGCCTTTAATTATATGTGGAAAGAAGAAGATGAATAAACGGGAGAGGATTTGGGAGGAAAAAGAGAGGGAAAGGGAAAGTTGCGGAATAGAATCAAGTGAAAGCACACGAACAAAGCAAGTTTCACATGTAATGTACTTCATGTAGATCAAGAGAACCCCATTTTATTTATCAATTTTCATTTTCTCTCTTTTTTTTAAAATTTTTTGAATCCAATATTCCAGATCAAGGCACCGTTGCTGCTGGCACTATGCTTGGCAGTACCCGACACCGCAGTGGCCGCTAGTCGCGAGTTCCAACCGTACATGGTAACCGAGAAGGACTTCCGCGAATTCTTCCCAGCGGGCGCCCGGGAGGACCAGTTCCACCTGCAGCCGATCGCCAACCACGAGGACTTCAACCTAGACGAGCTGCTGCAGCCACGCCCGAAGAAGGTCCAGAACCTCGACCCGGACGAGGGCTACGACGATGACGAAGACGCCGCGGAGTTCCACATGGAGGCCGAGGCCGACGAGGAAGACCCTGACCCCGCCGCCGAGTCCAGCAGCCGGGAGGACGAAGGCGCGGCCTTCCGCAGGGCGCTGGGACTCGGCGAGTACTGGCGGGAGGACAGGAACCCTAGGGGCGAGTACTGGAACCCTGGCGACGGGTTCCAGAACCCGAGGGTACTCCGCAGGGCTCAAACCCTCGAAGAGGACGCTGACCCTGCCGCCGACTCCAGCAGCAGGGAGGACAAGAGTTCCGTCTTCAGGAGGGAACTAGGGCTCGGCAAGTACTGGTGGGAGGGCTGGAACCCTGGAGGCGAGCACCAGGGCCCAAGGGTACTCCGCAGGACCCAGACCGACGACGAAGTCTCTGATCCCGCTGCCAACTCCAGCAGCCGGGAGGACAAGAGCGCCGTCTTCCGGAGGGAACTAGGTCTCGGCAAGTACTGGGAAAAGCCCAGGAACCGAGCTTTTGGCCCCAGAGCACTCCGCAAGACCGAGACGGACGACTTTACGTACGACTCCCCCGAGGACGACAAGGATGACTTCGACAAAGATGACTTCGACAAAGATTTCGACAAGGATCTCGACAAGGACTTCGACAAAGACCTCGACAAGGATTTCGACAAAGACCTAGATAAGGACCCTGACTTCGAGCGACCTGCGCCCACACAACCGACCTCTAGCTCTGGGTCCACGTTTCGGCCGAGCCCTAGTTTCAGCTCGGGGAACCCCGACGATGCCCTGAAGTTGATCCCTGGCCCAACCTTGGGGTTGGGCAGCTACTATGGGGACAGCCCCGCGCCTACGACGAATCACAACCTGCCACGACCTCAGCCTCTGGGAGCCTCGGTTAAAGTTGGGACAAGGTAAGTTGGATCACAAATATTCAGCTAAATGTTAAATGGTATTTTGGAGGGGATGACTATGAGGTCACATGGTTTATTTTTATAAGTAGTATGCGTAAATTGAATACTAAGAACTCGAGATATACTAAGAATGTGATATGTCTTACCGTTTGTCCGGTATGGCAGACATATGGCCTCTATGGTATGGAATGGATCTGTAGTAAACTGTAGCTACAACGAAAATAAGGGTTAATTTCGAAAGAAATCGACGCAAAATGACAATGAGCACATTGGCAAGGTCTGAAATTCAGGAGTTGATTTTAAGTTTTTGTAGGCAAATGTCCCTTTTCCACGGACAATGGCACGGATGAAGAAGAAAATAATTGTATGATATCAAAGAACTGTTAGATAATTCATGTCTGGGATTCTCTGTCCTTTCGTATCTCTGATTGTTTTATTTACATGCCTACACCCACTTATTTTTCACATGAGAAATTTAAGTATTAAAATCGGCGGCGATTCTGGGCATGACAGTAAAGTAAGTAGTTTCTCCATTTAAATCGATTATAATCGATTTGAAACGGGGCAACATTTTTCTACTGACAGAACCCCTCTGTTTCATTCCCAGGTACATGGTAAGCGGCAATCGACAACCTCAACGCCAAGTCATCCTGAAGAAACCCAGGAGTCAACTAATCCTCCGCCCTATCAACAACCAGGCCCGCCAAAAAGTGCCGCAACTAACACACCCACCGAAACCAACAACAACAATCGTGAAGAGCGTTCCGGAGTACGTGTACCACTCCGTCGAGGAGTACAACCCCGATCTCTCTCCGATCCCTGTGCCGGCACCCCCGAAACAGGGACTCTTCAAGCCGGCGTTCGGGCCGGACTACCCGACCAGATCCACGCCGTATCCCTTCGAGAAGCCCGTGCATGAGTTCCCGGAGTCGCCGTCCGGGTTTCACGGGAACACCAACTCCTTGGATGGTCATTTCCCGAGCACGGTATCCACCCCGGTCGTGACCCCTTCGATAAGGCCTTTCACTTTTGTGCCGAGGAAGAATGCGTTCTCTAGGCCGAGGGTTATCGGGGCGAGATTCCCGTTCAGTCCGCCGCATGATGAGCCGGTGAGTGGTAACTTACGTTTAAGGAGCTTAGAGGACAAGGCGCTTAAGTGCAGATTCTAAAAAATAGAGATACCAATGATTTTAGATAAAACTAGTCTTAATGCAATTTCCTTGAGAAATTCACTGCCAAATTCGAATTTTAAGTATCAAAAAGTCACTTTGAACTTTTTTCCGCCATAAGGATCCATGGAATTTTGAAACTTAAAACTTGTATTTCTCGAGGTAGCAAAAACTGCACTTATGCGTCTTGTCCTCCAAGCTCCTCGTTTCTGGGTGATTCGTCTCGGTTTTCGGCGTGGTCGAATTGGCGTGCGATATATCGCATCGATTAAATGAAGAATCTTGGTAGATTTCGAATTTTACTCCCAAAAAAAAAGCGCAACAGCCCCTGCGCATGAGCCTAAAGAATCAATCTAAACCAAAAAAATTTCGAAGTCCAGAGAGACAAAAGCAGAATACGTTTTGGAAAAAACCTCAATTTTGATATAGCTATCTGTTTTTGTACCGGATGCGAGTTTTTTTCCAAAATGGATCCGGATTTCATTTCTCTGCATTTTGCCAATTTTTTGGTTTAGAATAATTCTTTGGGCTCACGCGCTGGGGCCCTTTTTTTTATTAAATATTCAAAATTTACCGAGATTTTTTACTACATCGATTCGATACATCTTACGCCAGCTCGACCACACCAAAAACAGCGAGGAATCACCGAAAAAGTCTTGGGGAAAAAATTGTGATCCACTGGTAGCTTAAAGAAAATTACTAAAAATGACCAAGATAAAAAAAGTAACTTATAAAAATTGACTTCGATTCAACCAGAAATGAGGTTTGGAGGACATGTCGCATACGTGAAACATGTTGATCGAAAATAGGACCATAGTTAACACGCGGGTGAAAAACGATGATTTGAGATTTTGACCGAAAACTCTTGCTGGTGTCTCAATAAATTAGCTGTGGGACCCAAAGTTGAGATCATGTGCATCTCTAGAGTTTTTGAAGCGTGCATCCGAAATTAACCACGTATGTGAAATACTCCGATACTTCGAATGACTCTTTGAACGTTCCGAACCAAAACCCAAAGTAGATGTAACTCGAACCGCAGCAGTTAGGAATCAAGTTTTCGGATGCACGAAACTTCCGCCGAAAACTTCAGAGATCCAAATGACCTAAACCTCGGAACCCATGCACGAATTTTTCATAACCATGTTGTTGACTGTGGGTTCCAAAAGCAAAATATACGCCCCTAAAGCTGCAGAAAAGAAGGATTATTCAACCGCCACTCATGATCTCTATCTCTGACCCATTTTTCCGCTTTAATGTTATTTCAGGCACCTCACATTCCCAACTACAAATACCACTACTTCGTGAACGACCCACAAACCAAGGACGTGAAGAGTCAGTGGGAATTGCGAGACGGTGACTCGGTGAACGGTGCATATTCGTTGGTGGAGCCGGACGGGGCTTTGCGCATTGTTGAGTACACGGCTGACCCGGAGAACGGGTTCAGGGCCATGGTCAAGAGGATCACCCACGGTGAACATGGGGATGTTGAGGAACGACAATTCCATGGTTGAAATTGATACAAAAAGTTATTGACAGAGAAGACAAAAGGGATATGGATGGATCCTGTTGGTGGAAAAGGGTGGTTGCAAAGGACAAGGAGGTAGGTAATAGACTAACTAACGGCAACCCACGAGAGACCCCATAGTTAGTCCATCATTATCTCTCTTAGTCCATAGGAACCAACCATTTCAACCAATAGAATTGTTTCTTACTCCCCATGTCTTCTTTGTCTATCGCTTTGTCTATAAACTTTAACAATCAACCCGCAGGAATGTCTTCTAGTTAGTTAACTAGGTAATAAGTTCCAAGCCAGCACAATATGTGCTTCTAGTAGAATTTGTGTAAAATCTAGTGAAAATTTAGTGAATTATTTTGGCAATAACCGCACTCCGAATAGCCGGACACTCAGAGCCGATATTTAGACCGCGTTCAGCACAAAGGAGCCCAATCACGTCGGCCATTGCCAAATTTAAATGGGCAGTTGATTTTTTTACAAGAGAAGGTTTAAACGGATTACTTTGGAAATGTTAAGGAATTTGCTTCGTGCTATGCATGAAATTCACGGGCATTTTTACAACTATCCGCAAAACCGTTTTCATGTAAAAAATGAAAATGCCCGATTAAATTTGGCAATAGCTGATGAAGCGTAGTTTTTGCTTAACGTGGTCCATTCGTGGTTCCACTTGCCTCAATTGATTCGATGAAGCTGCCAAAAAAGCACCATAGTGTATCAGACTTTCGGCACTTTCATCGAATTTGGGTAGCCGGGACTATAAGAATCTTAGCTCTAACTGCCAAGCTATTGAAAGTGCAATTATTGCCTGAAAAAAGGTTACCCTCATCTTTTCCGTATTGTTACTTTTGGCGCGGTTAAGTTTCAGTTAGTGACGACTTGTGTTGCCATCCAACAAAATTGGTAAAGTCAGACACAGGTGAAATTGGGACAAATGACGGGCCAAAAATAGTAATTACTTATTGCAACACTTAGTCTGATCGAACGATGCGTAACTGATGGAATATGGCATATACATTGATCCTGAACTGAGTCAGAAAGGGTGATTGCTCATGGCAAAATGTAGTACAATATTGTGCAATAGAGGACTTAAAAATAATATCGCAATTTTTAATGAAACTTATTTTTTGTCAATTTTATATTTTCATTCGTGCCATGGTTGGCTTACATATGTACATGGGATTCAATGACAAAGCCACCCACCAAGATTTTATCCCACTTTAAAACGGTTGACTTCAACTGATGAAGTTAGGTAGTCAAATGCTAAAACCGTAAATTTTGCTCAAGCAACACTGAATAGAATGTTTTTCATACCTAGTTTGGTATTGACACATGTAAATATAGTCTAGAAATTCAAGATTAATAAACGGTTTTTAACATAATTCATCTCTCTAATTATAATTATTTCCTTGCTCCATTGAATATATACCAGGTCGCTGAAACAGCTCAGTTTATTGTGATTTTATCATGAAAAATAATTTCTTAGGCGGCTTGATGTAAATTTCGTCACTTTAATGCATTTTGGGTTTGCAAACTCATGATGGATTTACCTAAACTTGGAGTTGGAGACACATGGAGTTTTCACAATAGTGCTATCCCCAGGAAAAAGCTCTGGTGTCTCGGCAGTTGGGAAGAATGGGGTCGAGGTTATCAGTACCTAGCTACAATCTGCACTTCTGCACTGACTGTAAAAGTTCAGCACTCAAGTATGCCTATAAATTTAGCGTTGACTACCAAAACTTCTGGTCAAAATTACAATGAAAATTTCAGCCTGTTTCTTCCAGGTGCAGTTGTGGCCAAATTATTTTCTCCAGTCTCAGGACCATGGTCGGATTCACCTACTTGCCGCCCATGGGCCGCCTGTATTTTGCCGCCCCCTTCTCATTCGTTTTGAAACTCGATAAAAACCATCAAATGAACGTGTCAGCGGGAGAGGGTTGCATAAGACGCATTTACTCGTGTTGAACACATTTTTTGGGAAAGCCCTGTCAAAAGCAAAAGTAAAAGCTACTAGCAAAAGTTCACGGAACCTTGTGCGAAAGACAAGTTCCGTAAACCTATCTCTGCGTGGCCAAGGCCTTCCAACCATAAGAAATGAACGAAAAAATTATGAAAGAACAAACATAAATGTGGATTAATGACTTTAACTTCCGCCACCGCGCCGCACAGACCGCACCGTGTTTGGCGCAATGCGTGAAGTATTCCATCAGTCTTGTAGGCGCTATGCGTTTCACGCCGACCGCTGCTGAACGCACTGTGTTGGACGCAACGCGTGAAGTATTCATGTATTCTTGTAGGCGCTATCCGCTTCACGCTGACCGCAAAGACCGCACTGTGTTTGATGCAATGCGTGAAGTATTCGTGCAGTCTTGTAGGCGCTAGTATGTGTTACATGCCGAGAGCTTCTCTTTTTCATCTCGAGTCCTCGTTATCATTTCTCTCTAAGTCGCGCCGTTCCAGGCCAAATTGCTTGTTTGGTCTCTCTCTTAACTCGACTTATTGAAGGTGCTGTCTCTTGTATCACTAAGAGACGACAAAATTAGAAATGACTATACTCTCAGGAAATGAGAGATTTTGTCGCCTTTTCTCGTTTGTAATTTTTTTTTTTTTATAAATCCGATTTTTTTTTTATACCTACACTTTAAAAAATTGAAAATTTTTCCCGCCCCTTAGATTTGCCGCCATGGACCGCGGCCCATGTGGCCATCCCCTTAGTCCGGCCCTGCTAAGGACAGTTCAAAGTAGGTACCCCTGGTACCCTCATAAAAATCTCACAGAGTATCGTCAAACAAAAATTACATATTCCATATGGAGTTACGATTATATTTACTCAGGAGAGAAAACTCCAAGTTTTGAGTTATCAAACTCCAATGGGGTGAAATTCGATTGGTATACCAAATCACGCATCGGCATATTATGGAATTATATAAGCAGATACATTCCGTTTAGAAAACTTCAAAACTACACTCTTCATCATTGCTTAACGGTGGACAGTGTTTGTTACCTCAGAACGTCTCGCATTCAAAATGAGACAACTCAGTCATCGATAATGGGCCGAATTCGGTATTTTCGCACTCAAATTGAGTGTCAATGTTGATGCCAACGGACGAGGGCCAGAGAACAATCCGGCGAGCTAATTACATTATGGGCCCGTGTCCGATTTTAATTGGACCCAATTAGACTGATCCATCAAAAAGAGACAGGCCCGACAGGGGGAGGGGGTTCGCACGCTGTCTCTTGGACTCCGCTTCACGGAAGACTGAGCGCGTAAACTGCGACAATGCCGCCGTGCTAGGGAAAAACGCCGTATGAACATTCGAGAGGTGCCAAATTTTCTCCGATAAAATGTGAATTTTTAAGGAGAATTACAAATATTTTAACTTGGAATATTTAGAAACTGTAGGTGAAACTGTGAACAAAATTAGCTGAAAAATTAGAAGACAAATATTCATACACTGGAAAAAAAAATTGGATCTAGAGTCCAGACTCTTAAAAACATCGACAAGAAAAAATACTCTCGATTTAATCGGATTTTTGCTTAAATCAAGAACCAAGCCTCTAAATTAAAGCGGATTTCCTTCTGATTTAAGCAAAAGTCTGATTGAATCAAGATAATTTTTTCTTGTCAATGTTTTCAAGAGTCTGGGCTCTAGATCCAATGTGTTTTTTTCCAGTGAGATTCATACATATTTTTCCTCGGAATCTTTAGAAACTGTATGTGAAACTGCGAACAAAATTAGCTGAAAAATTAGAAGAAAAATATTCATAAGTTAGGCAGGAAATAATTGTTTCATCAAGGGAACTTGAGGCACTGGATGCGAAAAGGGTTTTTTTGAGTGCGGTGTTTCAGAATCTCTGTTGCCAATTAATCCCTTAGAGAAGACTTTACTGGGTGATTTTTCCAGAATTCTCTCCATAGAAAATTGCAGAATCACAAGGAATATTCAGCAGAATTTTTAGTGAAATGGATGCATTCACTTTCCTTATTACAATGAATAAAATATCAGAGGAGACTCTGAAACACTGCAACCGAGAGGTGCTCTTTTCGCACCCATTGCCTCAATTTGGCAACGCTTGAAGGTTCATACGACGTTATTCCTTAACACGGCAGAATGCTAGCCCGCGCGGCGTATGACAATAAACTTCAATCGCTATTTATTCTACTCAATTTTCTTCCATTTTCTCCCATAAAAATGCTCGGGCCCGCTTGCATCTCCGGCGCGCTGCGCCTACGAAAATGTGCACTCATGGCGGAATCTGGGTCAATCCGCTGCCGTTCGGACACTCCTGGTGCCCGGCGCCGTGCATAGACGTAATAGATTATGCGAGCCCCATTCAATGGATTCACACAGCGCGACTTGTTCAAGCTCTCGATCTGTCACTCGCGATTTTCAGCCCTTTTAAACGCGCTAATCGATCTGCGCTGCGACAGGCGTTGAAACCTCGCTCGCGCTGAGTCTCGCGTTGGGAAACGATGTTTGGATGCCGAACCGCGCTCTGACACTCTTGGGTGAAATGAGTGATTTGATGTATTTTTCCCCGCAAAAGTTTGTGACAGAAATGACAGGAGGTCTGGTGCACCCAAGAGATACACGCGGCGCACAGTGGATCAAGTCAATGCGACAGGCACAGGCCTGACAAAATTTGGAAACTTTAAACGCTTGTAACTCCGTTCATACAGAACTTTGAGGTTCTAAAAGTGGATTCATTGGTTTCCTCGTGAAATTTCCTGTTAAAGGCGCCCCTTTCATTTTGAAATGTGACTAAATAAACATCAACATTATCAGTTTTAGTAAAAAACGTCATGTCCGACCTCTCTAATTGACTCGATCCACTGTGCGGCGGTGCCTGAGGAAAAACTGCCCGCAAACGCGGAAAAGTTTAAAAAGCGCGTTATCAACTACACAGATGTGCCCGTAAGGAGTGGATTTCAAACTTTTTCTGTGTGCCCAATGTGATTTTCGTACGATTTTACCCGTTGAAAGTATATCTAGTTGGCTGTATTTCTTGCGTGCAGCAGAGTCATTCAGACCAGTGACGCGCGTGGCGTGAATAGCGATGTATCGATTGTTATACCATTTAAATCTATGGTAAAGAATCGATTATTGAGGTGTTCGCTGCGAACACCCTGTTTATCGATCCTCTTTCATAGGTTTAAATCGCATGACAATCGATATATCGCAATGCACGCCACGCCACTGATTCAGACCAACCTAGGCTGCAGCATTGGGCGGAGAGCAAAAACACAAAGCCAGGCGAGAAGTATATCTATGGTGAAACTCCCAAACCTCGTATCTCGGTTTGCGACGTTGCAGACTTCCTGTCATACTTTAATTTTTAAATGGAGAACCACTCAACGTCAATTCTTTAGAATCTCCTTGATTTCTCTTCTCCGTACGAAAAAAATCCTCTAAAAACTTCAATGAATATTGTTGATTTGTTCTTCTTCAAAAAAATGAAAACAGATCAGGAGTTTCGAATCACAGCAAACGAGATACGTGGTTTGGGAGTTTCATCTTCAATAGGACCTCGATAGCACACCAAAAAACAAGTTTGTTTTCAAAACGTTGTATTATTCTAATCTACAAGAAAAACAAGTTTTTCAAGCAAAAGTAGGAAGAAAATTTGTGAATTGCGGGTTCTGGATTACGAATTTTGAACAATTAAAAAAATCTTTACTTGGTTTTAAAATTTTAATAAACACTTTTTGTAAATGCTTTTGAAAAAAAACAAATTTTTTAAAATATTTTACAATCTTAAAAAAAACATGTTCAATGCTTTTCATGTGCATTTAAAAAGTTTTCTTACATTGAAACGTTTTTGAAATGATTTAAAAATTACTTTAATATATTATGGAAGGGCTCGTGTTGATATTCTAGCTTATTTTTTTTAAAAAATTTCGAAGTCATTTTTGAAATGTATTGGTTTCCCACCGTTTAAAGAAAAGACAAAAAAACCCGGAACTGTTTTGTTTATTTTTAAAGATTTGATAAAATATATACTGTAAGCGTCACAAATTATGTTTGCGCATGTTATATCATCGTATAGGCATTCGTAGATGGTTGGGAGGTTTCTAAAATATATCCTGCATCGGCCGGGAATCGAACCCGGATCGCCCGCGTGGCAGGCGAGCATTCTACCATTGAACCACCGATGCTACGTATAATATGGTAAGTAGGCATATGTAAAAACCCACAATATATTTCAATTGAAGTTTTAAAAACTTGAAAAAAAAAAAATAAAATAAAAAAAAAACATTAGAGAAAGTAGGTCTGTCCTTGCTTGAATTTTTAATTTTAACGTCATGTGGCAAACTTTGCCACGATAACTGACCTATCCAGGCACGGAGTACCATCTAACAAAATGGAGTTTTGTGAAGATATGATCGAGGAAGTTGTCTCAAAATGCAGCAAAATCAATATCACTTTATCAAGATGACTAAAATTCAATATGAGCAGAGTAAGTAATAAATATTTGGAACTATAATGAGTGCGATAAAATGTTCAATTGGCTACCCCGAATATCAACCCATTCACGCTATGCGGTTCAGAGAAAATGCAGTCACGGGTCAAATAAAATTCGCAGAGATGTGAGAACTACGCAACTGAAATAATTAAGTTTTTTTTTTTTTTTTTTTTTTTTTTTTTGATATTCCGGGGTCCTAACGGCCCCAATTTCAACTAGATGAAATTTTTAAGGAACAATTTAAAACAGAAACCAATTTTTTTTATAATATCTCGTCTCTTTTAGTACTTATTCATTTTAGTCTTGGCGACTTATATCTACAAGTGTACTATTAGCCATATGTTTTGGAGTACCGTTAGATTTCAATTCACACCCGTTCGTTACGGTGGGTGCGAGACAATAACGGTTCGAATAAATGCCCTGTCATTGCATACAATGTTGCATCTTCCGGTTTAGAAGGCGCTTGTGTACAAGGCTGATATGTAAAGTTCATTCCGTACTCTTTCAAATCATTTCTAAATTTTACTTTAACCTGAATATTATGACAGTTTGGAGTTATGTATTTAGATTACTTGGTCGCCTTAGACTATCGTCGTAAAAATGAAATCAAAGGTTGTTTATTTTGTTTTATTCATTTCTTTTTCAGATATTCTTTTTTCCATAAATAAACTTCACAAACTCCTCCCTTTAAGGACGTAAAACTTAGAGAGCACTAATCCTTACCAGATCCTGTCAATGTCGACAACTCTTAAACTTCCGTCCATTCTTCGACCTTCATGATGAAAATTTGCAACAGTTGCCAAGTAAATAAAGAGAAATCAAAATGACTTCTCCGATCAGTTTAAAGCTCACCGGCAGTGCTTTTATTAATGATTTTAAACCTGCCAAAAATGCACGAGAGACGAGGATATTAAATAGACGGTTGAGAGAGAAAAAAATAAATAAAAATACAGAGCCAGATACTCTTGTAATTATGTAAAACATAAAGAAGAGAAGTAAGATACTGCTAATCACTATAGCTTGTCGATAAGAGAAACAAGTTTTATCAGCCCGTTACTTGGTATACGCACGGAATATTTGGGACGGTCATTCACCGTGCATTTGAGCTAAAATTAATTTATTTATGATGACCCACAAACAGATGAAATCGCACATAACTTTAAAAGTGTGTCAACGGGTATCATTCAACTCACAAATGCGGTAGTTTTCCAGCCTTTTTGATATTAGTCGAACGGTTGAAGTTCTTGTGTGTTGTATTACATCTTCGAGTATCAAACTCGTGAATGCATTACATTTTGAAAAAAAGTGTTATTTGGTGTGTTAAAAATCTGTATTCGGATATCGACGATTTCAATTTTTACAACATTAAGCCGTGAAAAAGCATTTAATCGTCGAATGGTCAACGTTTGACGCTAAATTGAAATGCATGAACTGCTTCAAATTGATAATTTTAAGATCGATTATTTTAACGGACTTACTCGATAACTGACCTTACCAACAGTGAATCGAATAAAATCTACAGTGACGCGTACTTTAACCCGGTGATTCAAGCCTTGTGGGAGAGGGTTATTGTCAAATATTTTGGATCATCCTGTGACAATGGAGCAAATAATTATCCCTAAGCGGATCATTCCTGAGGTTAACGTAGGCACCCAAGTGCTTTTAGGAATCCTCTTTGCATGCGTGACTCTCTTTTGGGGTACGCAAAAATGGAAAAACAGGCATTTGTCAAAACTTGCCTCGATGTTCCCAGGACCCATGGCCCTGCCGATTATTGGCAATGCACTCGAGTTTTTAAACAGCGAGCCTGAAGGTACGTAACTCGGTGATAAAATTCCTTTAATTAATAGTAGGGGGTCCGCCCCCTGGCCCCCGGGACACTGCGCACCCTCAAAGGCCGCTCCGCGGCCAGGGAAATGGTCAAGCTCGCCCGTTGGCGGATAATGTGCCAATAAATTTTAATTGTGTAATATAACGATGTTTCAAAGAAAAAAATCCCGCCAAACTGTATTCTTAATGACTTTCTCCTTACTCTGAACTTTTTATTCCGTTTTTGGAAGTCAACCTTGACAGGGCCACATATAGCTGTCCGTAACTAAACGAAGGCCTCTGAAAGTAAAGACCCACTGTATTAAAACTCAGACCTTTGAGCTCCTCTTCCTCACTCCTGCCCATCGACCGTCTTACTCCCTTATTTCCTCACCCCGTCCATCGAGCTTTTTAAAAATGATTTTATTAGAATAGAGAGGATTTTGAGGTACGACTTGGAAAAGTGAAGTTCATAATATTACCCCAAGATACTGATTCTCATGTTATTTAGAGATGAACTTTGCTAATATGTTGGAAGGGCTGTTTGATTACAGAAACTTATTTGGGGGGTGGAGGAGGGGGGTCTTTCGCTTGAGAGGGACCAGTACAGCTTTGAGAGGGTTGGAGCTTGAGAGGCTATAGATCGGAGGGGAGGGGAGTTGAAGTTTGTCTATATCATCCTCAAAAAATTACTAAGTTTTGAATGTGAATAATGCAAAAGCAAAGGGGACTTTCGTAAACGCATTTTCCGATGCAATGAAATGATAATATTCCTTGAATTTGTCTTATTTTAGATATTTTATCCAGCATGTATAGACTAGGTCAAAACTATAAATCACCCTTCAGATTCTGGCTCGGTAACAGGCTGTGCATCCTAGTCTCTAAACCAGCTGATCTGCAGGTAAATAACAATTTTACTGATAAAAAAAATCTAGAAAGTTACTCATTCGCATATTGCATATTTTTATCATGAGTATCTTTGGCTAACCGTTTCTGTATTCTTAATATAAGAAAAACTATTAATGCTCATTTGACATAAATTTGCCGGAAAATCACCCAATCAACTGAAAATTGAGCTCAGAAATCGAGAGGGATCTTTCATATAGAGGGATAGTGGGGATAGAGGGATATAGAGGGATATATAGAGGGATAGCACAACAGTGGTAAGAAATGCGTTGTTTCATTCCGTTCAATCATTTTCCTCGTCGAATTAACGTTTCCGTATGAAACAGTTCAATCTCTAACAAACATCTATACTTTCAATATCTTACGAATTAGCTCAAATGCTCCGACTTTCTTTCATCCATTTGTTGATTGATTTGTGTATGTAACAGATTGTTCTGAATAACTCGAAGACTTTAGGAAAAGATGAAGTTTATAAGTTCCTCCAGGCAGTAATTGGCACTGGATTGCTTGCCGCACCAGGTATGTAACTCCTGTTGAAGTATGCGTCGCCTACATATATAACCGGTTATAGCCTCATCTCTTTATAACGTTTTTTCCTTTGTCTGTTCCTAAGACAGCATACTTGGAATTCTTTCTTCAATAAGAAAATAGTATTTTTTGTACATTCATGAAAGTTCTTATCTGTTTAAGGGAACTAACGGCACATAAGTTATTTCAGTAGTGATGCAGAAAGAGTGTTTCTTATTGAGAAGCAAGTCTAATTGAAATAGGTCTGCTGTCAACCACATCACACAAAATGTATTAAGTATCACAATTTGTTTCAGTTTGACCGGTATACGGTATAACACCTTCCTCTTAAATTTAAGAATAAATATTCAGTAACATAACAAATCATAAAATCGCTTTCTGTCCAGTACTTTCTGCAGCATTTTACCTCCATATCGATGTTTGCAGTGAAAACATGAGTATCTATGATTGGCACGTTGCAAGTTTCCACTCATGCTTCATTTTTTGAAGGAGACAAACGAATATTTGTGCTCCAAATTTTCTATGAAAAACTTAAAAATACGCTCAGAAAATTTCAGAGAAAGATATCATTAAGTTTTTCGTGAAAAAATACAATTTGAGTTTTTTAAACCTTGCCCTTTAATAAATTTTTCCCGACTTCAGTCAACGATATGTTGCTTACCCATCGAATGGAGTTTTTGTATGGAAAATACCCTCCCCAGAAAATAGCGAAACATTTAGGAGCTCCAATAATTTGATACAAAAAAATGTACGTGTGATTTATTATTTCAGTCGAAAAATGGAAGAAAACTCGGAAAATGCTTACACCATCATTCATTCCAAAAAAACTCGAACGCTTTGAGCACATCATGAACGAAAGAGCAAATGTCCTCGTACGGAAAATTCAAGGACACAGCAACAGTGGCCATGAAATAAATATCTATCCATACTTTCTTTCCGCTTCATTGGATACATTTTGCGGTAAGCACTCAAATCAATTGCTTTCTATCGTTCGATTTCAAAATCTTTCGCGGTAATTTTCAATCTTTCAGAAGGACCCACTCCTCCCGATTTGTATAGTGTTGTTTTTTTCTTTTTTAATCATTATTATTTTTTTTTTTTTTTTTTTTTTTTTTTTTTTTTTTAAATCTCTCCATCCACCCTCCATGAATGTATTTCATATGATAAAGTTTCCAATGAAGTAATCGTAATTCCATAGCAGTGGAAAAATTCTTTTAGCCATGGAAAAGTAACGCAAACACACATCTAATTGTAACAAAGTAGGGCAAAATGTGTTTTAAGGAGGAGGCGGGGATAAGGTAACGACACTACAGCTCACAGGAGCGTTAATTTCGCATCCTTTGACGAAACAAACACTCGACAATCCCTAGAAATTGACTCATTGGTAGACATTCAAAGTTCGAGGATGAAACAAAGGGGCTCCAAGAACCTGCTGCGAACCCTGCGAACGTTTATTACTTTGAACGCTTATAATATAATTAATGATTCAAGGAACACCTTAGCAAGGAAGGCTATAGAGATGTTAAATGGAATCCTCTGGGATCAGCGGATTTCCAAAGATAACAAGAGGAGGATATACAACGCTGTAGTCAAAAGTATATTAACATACGGATGTGAAGTTTGGCAGCTGAAGGAACGGACACAGGATATGCTAAGATTTCTAGGAGAGATCGGGTCCGTAATGATAGAGTGCGTCAGATAATGGAAGTCGAAAATGACATCGTGTTCGACGTCATGACCAAACAACTTGTTTGGTATGGTCATGTCAATAGGATGACTGAAGAGAGGCTGCCAAAAAAGATGCTTGATTGGGTTCCTCCTGGGAGGAGACGTAGGAGACGCCCAGTGAGAGGTTGGCGACAGGGGGTGTTGAGTGAGATGAGGGAGTGTCAACTCCCTGATGACCTGTGGGAAGACCGAGCTTTGTGGCGATTAGGCGTCGTAAAGCGCCAAAGAGCGCTGTAAAAGCGACTCATATGTATGTATGATTCAAATTGGTCGGAGTTAAACAGAAAGGAACTAAGCCCAATCGGGATCGAACCGAGAAAAAGAGGTTTAAAGTTTGGCTCCTGCATAAGACTCAATGTAAATAATAAACTTCAAGTTCAATTTCTGCAAAATTTGCTCCAATAAAAAATTTGAATTTTTGGCGATAGATAGTAGAGCAGTGGTTGAGTTCAAAACCACTCATAACTCAATTTTTTCCAAAATGTGGGTTGGTTCCTTTCTGCTTAACTCAGTCCAATTATGACTTGGAACTGACTTAATGTTCCTGAGAACATCAGGTGTTCTGTAGCATTAAAACTGAAAACCCGATGTATATTTTTTATCAGATTTTTTTTATTGAGAAATTTTGGCCTACACCTTAAGGTACATTTTGCCCAAATAGTGAAATAGTTATTTTGTGTCACAAATAGTGATAAAATGGTTGGTCTGAGGTTAAATATACGCTTCTGGTTTTTTTGGCATAAAAAGTTTAAATAAAACGATATAGCAATACACATGTGTCACTCTCACTGTTAGCGTTGCGTGGTGATTCATACCCATGTAGTCCCTTCCTTAATTATAATTACAACGCATATAACCCTCCTCCTTGAAATTATGATCACATTTTTGGATGTATAATCTCGCATTTCCGCCCTATTTTTAAGAAGGTTGACAGATTTTTGGGTCTTTCTTAATTATCTTTTCAGAGGCTGCATTCGGTGTTAGGTTGGATACTCAACTGGATCCAGAAGCAACCTTTGCTGAGTCCGTCATCCGGTAAGAATATCATCTCCAAACCGACGCTTGGTTTTCTCAAATATTAATTAAGATTATCTTGAAACCCCTATGAACAGTCCAAAATTCCAGTATACTTAGAGGATTTACAACTAAAAAGTACTTTTAAGTTACACACGTTCCAGAGTTGCTTTTAAAGACATACATTAGTAATTTCACATCTAAATTTGTTCATTTTAACTGAACTGAATGTAACGTAGTTACGTTATAAAAAGTACAAAGCAACAGTTTCTGCCATTCATCCTAATTGGTCTTAATTTTTATGTTAACACGGTCACTTTTCTAACGTAAGTTTTCAAAATGGTACTGATGTCACCGTTCCTCGAGTTACCAAGTCATTTTTACTACATAACTTTGATGAGCTTGGTAATCGTAAAATTCAAATTCTTTATCATTAATCTTTATGCAGAGCATCGGAGCTTGGAGCTGCGCGAATCTATAAGCCATGGCTTCATTTGGACTGGATTTATGAAAGAACAAGCTACGCAAAAAAACTGAACGAGGAAGGAGAAGCCCTCAGAGGATTTGCCAAAAACGCAAGTATTCTCAATAATGTATTGCTACTTCTTCAGTGAAATCATATTGTGAACTCTTCGTTGGTGTAATTGATACGTAGTCCCTTAGCATTCATGCAGTCTTGTAGGCGGCGGTATGCGTTTCACGCCAACTGACCGTTGCGTTTGGCGCAATGCAAGAAGTATTCATGCAGTCTTGTAGGCGCTAATATGGGCTCTACACCTATACCGACCACCGGCCGCACTATTTGGCGCAATGCGTGAAGTATTCCCACTGTCTTGCAGGCGCTAATATACGTTTAACGCCGGCCGCCGCGCCGGCCGCACTATGTTTGACGCGATTATTCGAACTCGCGTTAGAATAATCGCGGCATCGAATTATAGAGCTTAAAAGGCCCATGTTGTGTTTCGACGCCGTATGAGTATTCCAACGTTGCCTCGTTTCTCCCGATTAATTATTTTTGCAAGAAAAGTCAGGAAAGTTCTTTGTACCCACGAACATTATTCAATCTTTTCACTTCATATATTATCAGAGGGTAAGACATCGATTACTAGGTAGTCAATAAACTAACCTAAACTGGCGTTCACATAAGAGTGGGTCTATTTTCCAACTGTTTCCTGTTTTGCCAAACTTGCACCTTAAATTAACTTTATTTTAAATTCGTGCATTTCTGTGGCAGAGGTGAAAAATTCTATTCGCGCAATCCTTGTACCTTTTTCGCGCATTCCTCGTATATTTTCTTAGACCTTTCGCCCAATCCTGGATTACCGTTCAAAAACCCCAAGCTAGCCATATATGGTGAGTCTCAGGTTTAATTTTAAACAGAATTTAGCAGTCCATTGAGACTATTTAATTCAGAGTGTTGTTTCCAATCTTGTTCCCCAGGTTATTCGAGAATGCAAGATGCGGCTCATGAAAACCAAAGACTCAGGTGATTTCTTACTTCAGTTCCTAATTATGGTCTTATATTTAAAAGCAATATGCACAAATAGAAAATTGTCTATAACTAGAAACATTTAGAACTATTTAATGACAAGGAAACACACCTCAAACGAAGAAGTGATTATTAATAGATTAATATTGAAGCGCTTATTTCGAAAATGTGTCAAGTTGGTTTTTTCTTTTCAAAATATAGTTTTTATCGGCGAGGTAATCCTTTCCCGCCTTCAGTGTAGCTTCTTTTGTCTACTAATTTTTTTCTTTTTCTTTTTTCTTTCGTCAATTATACTTCAATCATATGCTTCAATCATATTTTCACAGTAGAAAACACACTATGTAGCTTTGAATTCATAGTTTTCTAGCCACAGTACAACATACTTTTGCCGAAATAAGGCAACAAACACGTCTGATTTGCATGAATACTAATATTATACTCCTTTTTTTAGATATTGATAATGATAACAATAACAACAAGCGATCTCATTCTGATGACGAGGATGAAAAGGAGCATTTACTTGATGTAATCTTCGAATCTCGTGAGGGAGTCTTCTTCAATTATTCAGAGACAGACATGATAGACGAGGTTATCACGTTCTTAATTGGGGTACGCATATATCTTTATCTCTCTTATTTAACAAACTACCGAATTTTCTCGTGGAATGCCATTTAAAACAGTGGCGAGGCGTTATGATGGTAGATTATCGATACTTCCTCATTTGAAGCTGTGGTTAAGAATCGATTATTGATTATTATCGATTATCGATACGAGATGTTCGTTGCAAAAACTCTGTTTACCGATCCTTAGGTTTAAAAGGCAGATCAAGCGATATATCGCAAAACACGCCTTGCCACTGATTTATAAGTATAATGCAATGAAAGATAGCAATTTGTCGCCCGATTGACGAAAGGGCGTTAGTCCCAATTGAGATGAGCCCTAAAAGCATTAAATTGTATGGACAGCAGGGTTCTATGTAGATTGTAGTTACGCCCTGAGGGCGACGAACTGTATACGCACAGGCTGACATAAATTACTTAATTCTATCGTTAAAATACAATATTACTGTTTAATCGCATATCGGTGGTGAAACTACCAGACAACGCATCTCGTTTGCGGTGTTGAAAAATCTCTGCTCCCATTTCATTTTTTTGGCTGAGAACAAATAAATTTCATTCCTTGAAGTTTTTTCAGAGTTTTTTTCGAAAGAGGAAAAATTATGGAAGTTTTCAAAAATTGGCGTTGAGTGGTTTTTCATGTAAAAAATAAAGTATGACAGGAAGTCTATACAACGTTGCAAACCAAGATACGTGGCCGGTAGTTTCACCGTCGATATGATTTAAACACGGAGATAGTGTAGCAAGTTTTACGTAAAAATTAAACTATATTTTTGGTTACTAACAATGAAAAAATTATCAAATTCAAGTGCTACAAAATTAGCTAATAGGCACTCTTTCATTGTAGAAAATCCACAATATTTCTGTATGAAACTATCTATTCGACGCAAATCATTATTAAGGAGATCATCAGAAATTGGTGCACGACTCGGCACGATTTCAATGTTTATATTGACGCACCACCTTATAATAAATTTTGGTTCTTTCCAGGGCAGCGAAACGTCCGCAGTTACGAACTGCTTTTGTCTGTTGATGCTGGCGATGCACCCAGAATTTCAAGTAAGTTTGTACTTGAAGGAATCTGTATAATCCATGAATCGTTTGAAAAAACTAGTTTAAGAATATTGAGCACACTTTCAATTTAATTTTTCATTTCATCCTCCATCATGTGACGACGCGCTATGTTTGCAACAACAACTAATCGTATTTGAGATGACATGGAAATAGTAAGTTCAACATATTAAAGAAAATAAATATACATGAACATTTTTAGAAATCCCATACGCAAATTTGACATGATTACGTGCCAATAAAACAAAAAAAAGCGGCGAAACTGCAAAAATGCGTGTATCGCGGTCGCGGTGGACCAAAATCTACGCTCCTATTTTACTTTTCAAAAGGAGACAGAACGTAGATCATGCCTTGAAACTTTCAAAGAATATTCTTAACAAAGAGAAGAAAAATCACCGGAGTTTTCAAGAAATTAAGTTTAATAGTTTTTTATGTAGAAAATAAAATATGACAGACAATCTGTAACGCCGGAAACCGAGATATGCATTGTTCCTGCAGTTTCGCCATCGATATGAAAAATGGACATCTTTCCTATTTCGACGGACGGTAATGTATAGGCCCCTGATGAAAATGAAAAAGAAGACAATAATACTGCGTACACACAATTATTCTGAACTATTGTACGTTAAGTCACTTGGTATTTACGCTATTTCATCTATTTTCAATCAATATATTTATTTATTCGTGTAGGAAAGAGTTTACGAGGAGCAGTACAATATTTTTAAAGGCGAGGATAGATCTGTCACGAACGAGGATATGGACAGAATGGAGTACACTGAACAAGTCATCAAAGAAACTCTCCGTATGTTTCCGGTGGTTCCACTCATCCTGAGAGCTGTGGAAGAGGATTTAAAAATAAGTGAGTAAAGTGTTTTCCCACATTGCCGTAATGGCTGTAATTTACACAAATCTATATACTTCAATGCTACATAGATAATGCGTTGGGGTCATGAGGTGGTAGATCAGACTAACCGGACCGGGATTAAGCACTAATTTTTTTAACATGTGGCTAATACTACCGAGCTAAGGAAAAACGCCGTAGGAACATTCAAGAGTTGTCAAATTTCCCAAAGCGAGTTGCCAATTTAGAGTTGGATAAAATATGTATTTTAGAGGAAAGTTACGCAAATTTTCCTTTGAAATTCGCAGATAATTTAGATTAAATTGCGTACAAAACTGTCCGAAAATTTGGAGGAAAATTATTCACGTATTTTCTTAAAAATTCGTATTTTATCTAAAGAAATTTGGCAACACCTGAAGGTTCATACGGCGTTTTTCCTTAGTACGGGGGAATGCATGTGCCACTGCAAGCATGAGGACGGAATTACAAGAGGAGAATCTAGAAGGACATGAGCCCTCTCCTCTCCATAAATGTAAAATTTGTTTTCCTCCCCGGCAAAAGTCCTTGCTCCGCGATTTCCAGAATTCAATGAATTTCGACCTGCCTCTTTCCCAAAGAGATTTTTATCATAAAAAATAGTTTTCCTCCTCATCAACTAAGGCACATGCCGATGCTACCACGCGTAAGATTCTCCAAATGTGCTCGAAATTTACAATTATTTGTGTCCATCTTAATCTTCCAATAGACCCATCCTGATCATTTGCTTTCAATGATTCTCAAATTAAGGGGATATCACTCTTGGTTAAGTGTAGTTTTGTTGTCTGTGCGGCTCAATTTTGTCATATTTGAGGCTTTCTTCATTCATCAAAAAAGTAATGCTGAAGTTTATATAGGATTTTAGATGCTAAAAATGTGCCTGATGATGAGAGAAAAATGCTGATCTAGGACCTCTACATTCAATTCTACATCCTCGAAACGTAAAATTAATCGTGATGGTGTGTTGCATCACCATTTAGGTCTCATCAGACAGAATTCTGACCTAAAACATGATATATCAGTATAAATTATGTTCGGTATAACTCTTGTAATCATATAAAAAATGTGTTCTTTATTGAAACTATTTATCAAAGACAATTACTCTTAACTTTTTTACAGCTGAAAATTACGTTTTACCGGCTGGTGCAGCAGTAGTGATTGCTCCATTGCAGACACATTCTGACCCAGCTCTCTGGCAGGAACCAGAAAAATTTAATCCAGACAACTTCTCTGCCGAAAACATTCAGAGCAGACACAAATACGCATACATACCCTTCAGTGGAGGCGCCAGAGGATGCATAGGTAAGTTTTAAAGAAAACTAGAGCATATAGATGTGTTTAGGCTAAAAGTTACTATGTTGCACACGAACCCTATGTAAATAGTTTCCTTTAGCATAAATACGTCCGGTCAATCCCCTTTCCATATTTAAAGCCTTGACTGCCATTTGATCAAACTAAAATAAGAGAAATATCGGAATGAATGGGAGAACAAAATTAGATCTGAGATTGAAAATTGGAACTGTGCCTAACAATTATGGGAAGTTGACACTTGGTAATAGTAAAGGTGAGAAGAGCTGAAGTAGCTAGTTGACTCGAGTCGAGATGTATAGATACCCAGAAAAACGGGCATTACTGTTACTTCAGGGCGTTGCGGCTTATTCACTACAATCACAAGGGAAAATTAACTAGGTCTACATAAAACCATACTAAATATGCGTAGATTACTTCGTCGGCACGATTGGCAACGCTGAAATTAAGTGAAAGTGCGAAAGCCTAGAAACAAGCAAGGACCATTAAGTCGGTACCTCATGCGACGAACACTGGAGGAATTTCATTAGAGCGCCTGAATGCAACTATTCGAGCTCCATGGATGTCCAGGTTGCATAAGCACGGATTTGAAGGCGTTTTGAGTTTCCAGCCATATATAACTTCACCCGTTGCGATGACGGCCGGCGCGGCGTGAAGTTGAGCAGCACTACAAGAATCCAAAATTTCAGCGCCTACAATTCTTCTTTTATGTGCAATTCTACAAAACCTGTCCAGTTTTAATTTTCATGAATCGAGCGCTATTCTTCACTAGCTCTGCACAGTATCAGGCTTTAAAATTTAATACAGATTTTACTCCTGTATTGAACACGGAGCAAAAAAACACGGTTATTCGACGGTTACCACGGTAATAATGTCACACAAAATTCCACGGTAGTGGAACCGTGGATTTTGGTAAGATTATTGATGAGCACAGTAGCATAACCATGCTCATAATAGTATGTCCGTGCCCACAGTAATATTACGGTGAACACGGTCATATCACCATCGTTTACAAGAATCAAAAACCACGGTTCTCCTACCGAGGAATGCCGTATGACTTTACTACCGTTTTAACGGTAGAATAACTATGTATTTTTTTCTCGGTGTACATACAATACAGGAGAAAATTATAATCCTCACTTATTTCATTCCGAAGTTTGATTATTAGTCATTTCACTGGGGAAAAAAACACATTAGATCTAGAGTCCAGACTCTTGAAAACATTGACAAGAAGAAATACTCTTGATTCAATCGGATTTTTGCTTGAATCAAAACGAAATCCGCTTAAACTAAGAGGCTTGGTTCTTGATTTAAGCTAGATTCTGATTGAATCAAGAGTGCTTTTTCTTGTCAATGTTTTTTAGGAGTCTGGACTCTAGATCCAATGTGTTTTTTTTCCCAGTGTTCTCTGCCTTTTGGTCAAAGCATTCCGAGGTGCGTTACCCCAGTCATGTGCAAAAGTTGTGGCAAAAACGGAATCAACACGAAGAGTCATTTGTTTTCTGATTAGACTAGAAGCAAATAGATGATTTGGTAGAAAATAAAACATCACCGGTGAGACTCCAAAAATGCGTGTGTCGGTTGCGACGTTTCAAAATCTCCGTTCATATTTTTAATTTTAAAAAGGAGATCGAACCAACATCATGGCTTGAAATTTTCACAGAATATTCTTCACATAGAGACATATCATTACCTAAGTTTTCAAGAAATTACGTTCAGTAGCTTCGGAGTAGACAATATAGTATGACAGGAAGTCTGCATTGCCTCAAACCGAGATACACAACTCTTCAGTTTCACCATCAGAAGTGGATCTAGCAATTTGGCATCACCTGGTTTGGGTCTTTCTCTTCAAACCTATGTTAAGTAATCGATTCTTGTCGGAGCACCTGGCCCCTCCAAGAATCGATATATTTCAAATTCCCATATGCTTAAATGGAGGAAACCCGAGGTTGCCAAATTGCTGGATCCGCCGATGTTCACCATCGATATATTGTGGTTCTCATTCCCTATAAATGTGACCAAACAAAACATTTAATGGTTCCACCCCAATGTCTGCAAAAATTCGTAAATATTAATGTGTGCGTGCAAACTGTGCATAATCCTATGTTTACATTGGGACCAAAATTTACAAATGAAGTAAACTTTTACATTCGCGCCTGCAGACATCACTAATCAGTTCAATCTATCTTAAGGTTACAGGTATGCACTGAAGGCCATGAAAACTACCATTTCAACATTCATACGTCACTACCGCGTATCGACGATCACTAAATTAGAGGACATTAAATTATGCGCGGATCTATTAGTTCGCAGTAAAGGTGGATGGAATATGAAACTTGAGCCACGAATTGGTACAAATCCCGAATAAAAGGATTTTGAAGCAATCGTAGTTTTCGTATTCAGGCCACTTCTTAGTGTTCCTTTTCTCATTTGGTAAGAATAACTATATTCATAATTTTCTACAGCTTTTTTATATTTTACTGTATTTATTTACTTATTTTTAGTGCGATTCGCTCAGAATGTCTGTAAAGTCTTTCTACAAAGCATCTCGATGGTGAAAGTGCAGAAGTGCGTTCCTCGATTTTCAACAGTTTTGAGTTAGCTCCATAGACGTGTTGTTGAAGATCTCGTCTATCTACCAGCAAGAGATTATAATTGGAAAATAATCGGGAAGTCACCTAAAACAGTAGAACTGTTTTTGCGCATCTCGCGCTTAAGTGCAGAAATACGTATCTCGTTCTGGCTGGCTCCTTCATTTGATCCGGCGCGCCTCAGCGTTTCTCGCCAACAGCGCATATGTTACGCACAGATCGTGTAATTGCCCAGTTCATGAATTGGGCAGATTTTTGCTCATTTCATGAAATGGGCAATGTTGTTGCCCAAATTGTGAAATGGCACCAAAATTGCCCATTTCATGAATTGGGGCGGGAAAAAATTGCCCAATTCACGCATTGGGCAAAAAATGAAAAAAAAACGCTCACACTCAATTTGTGTAACTGCCCAATTCGTGAACTGGGGCATGAAAATATTGAAAGTAAGTATTGAAAAAAGTAGAAAGTAGGAAATGATATCATGATAATGTAACTCACCTAAGTGTTATTGGCGCAGGTCCTTTGCGGGTGGCTAGCGGAATTGCACTGCACTTTATTCTTGAAGCAACGGCACTGTAAGGTGCGACACATAGATTTTTTGCAGGAGCATCGCTGGGCTACTACACTGTTGTCCTTATAGTGCGGTCAGCTGATCAGCTATTCCGTGTTTTGATTTATTTTCAAGAATTCGCTGGTTTTAAAAAGTCACTGAATGCCTATCACTCGAAGGCCTTTCAGTAACATTTCTTCATAGGTACCATGCGACGTTCATGTTCATTATACACTCTCTGGGCCAAAGCAAACATGAACTGATGATTCACCACAACGGTCAGTTGTATCAGAGTCAATCGAGTAATACAATGCTTCATCCACCGTATTGGATCAACTGAAGCCTCTAAACAAGTTTTAAGTATGAATTAACTCTATTTTTGATCTTACTGATCAAGAGCAGGTTCAAAACACTAATCGCAAAAATGCCCATCTCGTGATCAAACATCATTTTCCAATTGGACCACATTTTGCAATAAGGAACCACTATCTTTGGCTCATTTTAGAAACAACGTAAATGCCACTGGTTTCCCTATGCAGGAAAGTGCTTTTATGGAAGAGCCGTAGATAGTGGTTACTTTTTGCAAAATGTAATCCAATTATACAATGCATGGTCCGGCCGTATGAGATCAAACTAAAACTTCTGATAAGGAATTGTATAAGCGTGAAACTCTTTTTTAATCTTTAAATGATTAAAATCCGCAAACAACAGGTTTAAAACATTGACTGCATAAATGCGTATCCCCTGATAAAGTGTCAATTCTTAGCGCCCGAAACGCGAATCTCGGCATTTCTGCCTTACTCGTATTTTCTAACAGTTCGAGAAAATATCAAAGTGTTGATTGAGTCTGTAAAAGCATCTTATTGTTGCTATCCTCGAGAAATATTATCCTTCTACTGAGAATAAGGAGGAATGGAGACAGTTTTTTTACACTCCTGGAAAATGATGTTTTCCGAGATACGTACTTCTGTACTTTCACCATCGATCTGTGATCCCTCTATTTTCAAATAATAGGGAATCAATCACGGTTGTTGCTCATGGTCATACATCCCGGCATTTTCTAGTAATCCAACTAAAGAGCCTATGATGTGTATTTTTATGACATGATACAAGAATAGTTACAAGCTCGTCGTAGAATCTTCAGAGTATTTGCAGTCAAATCACCGGGAAAACTAGAGTCCAGGGCCGGATTAAGGGGGTGGCCACATGGGCCGCGGCCCATGGCGGCAAATCTAGGAGGTGGCAAAGTTTGCAATTTTTTTAAATGGAGGTACAATTAAAAATCAGATTAGAAAAAAAATACAAACAAAATCTCTCATTTCCTGAGAGTATAGTAATTTCTAATTTTGTCGTCTTTTGATGATACAAGAGACAGCAGTTTTAATTAATCGAGTCAAGAGCAGAGAGATCAAACACGCAATTTGGCCAGGAACGGCGCGACTGAGAGAAAAATGATGACGAGGACTTGAGATGAAAAGGAGAAGCCCTCGGAGCGGCGCGGCGGTCGGCATGTAACACATATTAGTGCCTACAAGACTGCGTGAATACTTCACGCATTGCGTCAAACACAGTGCATTCAGCAGCGGTCGTCGGCGTGAAACTCAAAGCGCCTACAAAACTGTCGGAATACTTCACGCATTGCTCCAAACACGGTGTGGTCTGCCCGGCGCGGGGGCGGAAGTTAAAATCATTAAACCACATTTATGTTTGTTCTTTCATAATTTTTTCGTTCATTTCTTATGAATGGAAGGCCTTGTGCACGCAGAGATAGGTTTACGAAACTTAACGTTCGCGCAAATTTCGGTGAATTTTTGCTTGTAGTGTTGACAGGGATTTCCCAAAAAATGTTTCCAACTTGATGGTTTTTATTGATGTTTCGAAACGGGGGGCGGCAAAATACAGGAGGCCCATGGGCGGCAAGTAGGTAAATCCGGCCCTGACTAGAGTACTTTTATAGAAACTTCATGTGGGGGAACGTAGGAGAGGAGCCGGTGGAAATACAGTGTCCGTATGGAACCTTATTCTTTTTACTCATAAATGCAAGCTGATGGTACATAAGCACGAATGTGATGCATGTTTTAAGGCGCGAATTATCCAATTAAAGGCTATTTATAAAGAAAGGCGAATTGAAAAAGTATTTTTGGTTCCTGTAATATTTCCCTTGTGTTTTATCGATCAATATGTATCCTCTTGCAGGTACCAAGTATGGAATGACGGCCATGAAGAAAACAACGTCAATTATCATTCATCATTTTTTCGTGTGCACGATGATTGGATTGAAAAATATTAAACTAACTTCAGATTTGTTAAATAGAAGCAAGCATGGATGGATCATGAAGCTGCTACCAAGAGTGTATCAAAAACCTCAACAGAGGAGCTAAAATCATTATTTTTCAACTTCCCTTCGGGCAAAAAGAAATTTCCACAGGAAACACATGATGAAACAAATACGCGAAATCCTTGGATTTTCGACAGAGAGGCATTGACGGTCGAAAATATATCTGGCAGTTCATTGAATAAATGAACTTTGGACTCAAGCACTGATCCAAAAATAAATTCACGTGTTTGATTTTTTCACAAATCATATTCTGGAATGAATTCTACTTAAAATAACTGATCACATTTCACATATTTTTATTAACTCATTAACACAACACTGGAAAAAAACACTTTGGATCTAGAGTCCAGACTCTTAAAAACATCGACAAGAGAAAGTACTCTTGATTCGATCAGAATCTAGCTTGAATCAAGAACCAACCCTCTTAATTTAAGCGGATTTCGTTTTGATTCAAGCAAAACTCCGATAGAATCAAGAGTATTTTTTCTTGTCAATGTTTTCAAGAGTCTGGACTCTAGATCCAATGTGTTCTTTTCCCAGTGAAGCAATTATCAAGGCATTGTAATAATTAAGCATATTTTAGTTTTTTTGATCGAAATTCACTGTTTACAAGGAGAAACTGAGAGTCTGTGTCGACTGATTCATGACAATTTTTTTTAGGACGATCTTAAAGGGTTTCCTGTATTATGTGCCTCCTTTCGGTTGAATAAAATCGTAGTCAGATTCATCTTTGACCATCATTAACCTGTGTCGTACTATCAAAATACACCATTAAAATGTTGCGGCCAAGTGCTATGATTAGTCCAAGCCATCGAATAAGCCAATCTAAACACCTGACTTCGATATTTTGATGGCTAGCTTTGACAGTTTGACACACGCTATTGAGCCCCTATAACTCCTTCCGAGCGTTTCACGAGCCGAAAACAAACTTGATATTCGGCCTATAGAGGCACGTGAGGGGGAATCACAGCTCTAAACGCTCTTGTGTGACTTCAGACTCAACCATGCAAATGCCATACTATTAAAATTTTTCTTGTATGTTACAAAATGTTCCAGTCCTGTTAACGAGGCAACATTTGTGACCAATACCGACAGCTTTTCGCCAAAAGAGTAACATTTTGACAGACTTTATAACACGTTAGGTTGGGCCTGAAGTCAGGCATTGTAAGCATTGTAAGATCCATGATACACTTTTTCTAAGTATGGGAGCCATAGTACCCTAAATTAAATAAAACTTCATTCAAAAGTCAGAACAGAAGAATTCGGACCAGTAGACAAAGTGCGGATCCATTTATTGAGATCAATGTATTCTATCGCAATATTTCACATGGCATATAATTTGTGCAATGAACATTAATTAAAGTGACTCCTAACCAAGATGTTAAAGTTTTTTTATGCAAGAGTTCAAACCTCCCGCTCATAAGAAAACCATGATCTCCTTGAGTTAATCGTTCATTAAACGTCACCCCTGACATTCCCTTGTGGTGCAAGTATATGATAAGTTCAATCTCGGCTCAGCTGTCGCACGTTTTCACACCCTGAACGACAATGCGATGAAACTACCTTGTAGTAGTAGTAAAATAATTTTATTTTAAAGAGTGCACTCACAAAGAAGAGAAAGTAAAAATCTAAGGCTACCGCGCTGATAAAACCCTATTTTTCACGAAAATGATAAAAAAGTGAAAGTACTCCACAAGAAGTGAACCAGTTGACCCCTCTATGTTCAAATCATATTTTCGATAATTAATTCCCACATTAAAATTTTATCAAGTTGAGTGTGAGAACTGTATCAACCGATAGCGCGATTATTCGCGAAGTGCGTTGATGTCCTTTTTAATATCTATATACAGGGTGGCCCAGACCTACCGTACCAGGTCTTTTTTTCGGTTAATTTGGGTCGCACCAAGTCCAGGATCGCGGGGATGAATAGGGAACCAACCCCAAGGAATCCGAATTGCATGGTCCCAGAGCCCCCCTGGCGCCCCTTGGGAGTTAAAAGGGGGGTCCGTACTTCAAAATTCAAGGTTTATCTCAAAATTTTGAAATTATTTCATCGGAATCAGAACGTGCAGACATCTTTAACTAAAATCGACACCAAGAAATCCAAAATCGGCCCATCCGTGTCCAAAATACCGACCCCTAAAGTCGGGGGACAGAGCCCCCTTTCAAAAAGATTCAAGTTCGTCAAATTGACGTGGAGACTCGGAAAAAATGTGTACTCATAGGTAATCGACCCCAAGGAATCCGAATTTGAGGGTCCCGTTGTCCTCAGAGACTTTTCTGATGGGGCACAGGGGTAACCTCCACACCGGTTAAATTTAAAAGTTCAGAGTCCCCCTGTGCCCCATCAGAAAAGTCTCTGAGGACAACGGGACCCTCAAATTCGGATTCCTTGGGGTCGATTAACCATGAATACACATTTTTTCCAAGTCTCCACGTCAATTTGACGAACTTGAATCTTTTTGAAAGGGGGCTCTGTCCCCCGACTTTAGGGGTCGGTATTTTGGACACGTATGGGCCGATTTTGGATTTCTTGGTGTCGATTTAAGTTAAAAATGTCCGCATGTTCTGATTCCGATGAAATAATTTCAAAATTTTGACATATAAACCCTGAATTTTGAAGTACAGACCCCCCCTTGTACCTCCCAAGGGGCGCCAGGGGGCTCTGGGACCATGCAATTCGGATTCCTTGGGGTTGATTCCCTATTCATTCCCGCGATCCTGGACTTCGTGCGACTCAAATTAACCGAAAAAAAGACCTGGTACGGTAGGTCTGGGTCACCCTGTATAAAAGCAGTTTTATAAAAAAAGTTATTTGCTCATTATCATTTCATGTTAAAGCCATCGGACGTTCTATTCATCTCTCGCGTTATGTAGTTTCCTATATATTTAAAATTTACCTATTGTATTTGCACTTTGAAACACATATATATATGTGTAACTTTTGACTCGCAACCATTAATATAAGATCGGTTAAAGATCGGTGCATTAACGCATCGCCCATCATCAATTTTAGTCTAGAATAGTGATACGTTGCGTTTGATTGTGCGTTTATTCGTGTGCAATGGAAATATCAATCCCTGGACTGTCTGACGTCACTTGGGCACTGTTAAGTATCCTATGCATCTGCTTGACCCTGATATGGGGCATTCATAAATGGCGTAGGAGGCATACGGAGAGACTTGCTTCAAAGTTTCCTGGACCTACAGCTCTGCCTATCATCGGCAACGCGTTGACACTTTTTAACAGAACTTACTATGGTAAGTGACTTTTTTGGAGTAAAATAGCAACGTCAATCTTTCACAACTGCCCTGTTTTTCACCGTTCCAGACACGGTTAAAAGTGGTTAGGGTTCCGGAAACAGGGCCCGTATTGATGATTCGAGTTGGAACCGTATTTTTGCCTTCACGTCTCATGTGCAGGTATACAATTCAGAGATCAAAAATTGGTGCATGATTGCTGAAAGTTACAAAACACAGCAACTGTAAAATAAATTGAAACAAATAAAAAATAACAAAAAAATCGGTGATGGGCCATTTCCCGGAGATTGACTGCATTGGTGGTAAATGTATTTTGTAACTTAGGTGGGGCATTTTATCCCATGGGTGGGTCTGCTGGGAAAGGGTGCTAGGTCAAAATGTCCAAAAGAAAATGTCCAAAAGTCAAAATGTCCAAACCCTGAAGGGCCAAAAATCTAAAAAGGCCAAATATCAGAAATGTCCAGCAGAAAAATAAGTCCAAAAGTAGGCAAATGTCCAAATGTGAGATTAGGCATTGGTTGAGTTATTATTGGATTTTTGGGTGCAGGTTTGCAAGCTATTTGTGAATGCAGCCACAGAAACAGATGCGTCGGATAATGGAGGGATGCAGGTTAGGAAAAAATGATGATAAAATTTTTCATGAGAGCAGGCAAATTCTTACTTTTAAAAATGCATTAGTGATTTATTTTCCAAATTTTAAGTGATATTGACAAACATAACAAACATGGCTAATATTACCCCATTTGTCATGAAAAGCCCAAAAAAAAAAAAAAAAAAAAAAAAAAAAAAAACGCCTGAAAACAGTTAGTATATAATTACTCTTTCCATTAATGCGGACATTCGCCTACTTTTGGACTTATTTGTCTGCTGGACATTACTGATATTTGGCCTTTTTAAATTTTTGGGCATTCAGGGTTTGGACATTTTGACTTTTGGACATTTGTTTTTGGACATTTTGACCTATTACCCTGGGAAAGGGCACTGGGTCCAATCATCGTTGAAACATAATGCAAGCAGCATCAACCCCAAAGCAAACTTACACGTACAAAGTTGCGCAGGTTTCCTTACATTTTAAGAGGAGTAGTAGCTACAGCTTGACATTAATATTTCCGATTTTAGGATGCGCGAGATCAATCTAGAAATTTTATTTCACAATATCATGATCAGTTATGCTCCTGTTTTTTTGTTTCTTAGTTTTTCTTAAAGCCTCAAGTGAAGTTATCAACTTCTGGGGTTGCATATTTGTTTTAAAATTTTTTATCTCAGTAACATCTCCAACTTTTCCTTTTGCTGACAATGATACGCTAAATAATTGTATTTTTGCGCGTAAGTAAAACAAATATTTTTCCTTCCCTAAAAAAAATGAGGGAAACTTTCGTTAGAATTTTTCTTCTGATAATGGGTTTCATTTTTGCTCGGTGTATTTAGCTACCTTGTGAGGCTCAAACGTAAGAAAAAGATTCGATGAGCTGTGCGGGGCCGTCCACAAACTACAGAAGGCACTTTTTCCGATTTTTAGACTCCCTTCCCCTCCGTAAGACGCTCGTAAGGCTAGCCTGGATCCCACCTAAATAATAACGTAAGGCTGGCCAGACCCTCCCCCTACCCTCTATTAAACATTAAAATGGTCTTGAAACAAATCGGTATTGCTTTAAAATTACTAATTGCTGATGGTAGGAGATCATAAAGAATAATAGTTGTATTGAAAAAATAACCTGATTTTAAATTCAAAAAGTTCAGAAAAAACTACGTTTTTACGAAAAAGCATTAAACATCCCCCAAAAAACGAAATTTGGACTAATCAGTCTTTAAATTAACGAAATTTGGACTAGTAAGTCTTTAAATTAACGAAATTTACAGGATATAAAATGTAAAAAAATAAAATTTTGACAAACCAAAGTTATTTCCCTTTTTCGCAATAATAAGCGTTTTATGCTTACGTAAGGAAGCGCTTGACCCCCTCTCCCCACCTGAGTGCCTTACGTAATTTGTGGACGGCCCCTGTGTAATAACCTCTTTCTGGAGAACCCTAATAAAACATTGGAAATTGTCCAACAGTGAAACACTGTTATAACATCGTCGAAAGATTCCTTATGATCAGCCAGTGCTGCAAAAATTCCCACGAATCTGCTTTTTTCTCATTTTTTTTAAAAAAATGATTTGGAAATTTTGGATTAGATACAACGGTATTGTGTCTATGGATGGTCTTTGAAGAATTATCCGGGATTTTTAGGCCAATCGATGGTATTTTAGGTGCCCTTAATTATTTTAATTTTCCAGACTTATTACGGATCATTACTGGACTTTGTCAGGAGTATGGATCACCATTTAAAATCTGGCTCGGTAGTAGACTTGTTGTTTTCATCACAAAACCAGAGGATATCCAGGTAAAAAATATATGAAATTGCTGATCATCGTACGATTTTGCATCATTTACTAGTATTCTGCAGAATAAGCATAATTACGTTGCCCTTAAACAAGTATATATGATCTCAAAACCATTGCTAACAAATCTTTGGTTGTTATTTAAACCATGAAGATTGAAAAAGAAATAAAGAAAACTATGCCACAAATATAGGACTCTAATTACACTTTTCAGTCTGAACTATTCCACTGAACAATATTGGAGCTTTGTCAAGAACAAAAATGCAAATATCGTAATTGCAGTTTTGCGATATTATGGATGTTTGAAGGTTACGACTTTAAAAAATGGCAACGCTGATTCCCGGGGGTTCCTGCAAAAACGGAGCTAGGGATAAGCCTCTCTCAACTAATACTATCAGCCCACAAAGTTTCGTACATTTCGAGCTGGGTATATTTTTCGCCTATATGAATAACCCTCTTTGCATATCTTTGCTCCAAATGGAAGAACTCGAAACATAGTTTACAAGAACGTATTGAACTAAGAAGTAAATATACTTATTACTGCAGCAAAATAAGTATGTGTTGTATAAAATAAAGCAGCATCAAAATTCTATTAGTCGATTTTCATTAAACGATTTTCATTGATATTAATAAAAATTTTACATATGTACTGAATTTAGTATTGGGAGAGTGAGTGATGTTCGTGCGGAGCACGGGGGGCCAGCTAGTAATACAATAAAGGAAGGTATTGATTGAGTGAGCTGAACACGGGGATACCCTTTGTTTATAAATTGAACGATTATTGGAGGAGATATGACGAACTAATCTGGTCTGCTTAAACTGCTCTCCTGTCTCCTCAAGTAAATATTCGACGAGGAAAGTCCTCGTGGATCCGAATAGTGCCCTCATATTTCTTAATAGAAAATTGCCATACATACATAAGAGTCGTTTTCACGGCGCTCTGGCGCTCTACGACGCCTAACCGCCACAGTACGTTGCCCTCCTACAACCCTTCACGGAGTTTGCGCTCCCTTATTTCATTCAAAACTCCCTGTTGCCATCCTTTCACAGGGCATCCCCTTCATCTCCTCCCAGAAGAAGCCCAATCAAGCATTATCTTTGGCAGCCTCTCTTCCGTCTTCTTGTCAACATGACCGTACCAGACAAAACCGGAAAATTATCAAGATCTTATGAGTTTTCTTTTTGTTGAATTTTGTTGCAGATTATTTTAAACAGTTCTAAGACATTAGAAAAAGATAATGTATATATGTTTGTTGAAGCAATGGTAGGGGCCGGTCTACTTACAGCACCACGTACGTAAATACAGGTTCAGTACAATTATTATATCATACTACATAAAACAGCTCATCTGCAATTTGATGTACCTAATCGGCATTTGGTTTTGACAAAACTGTCATTTGAATATGGAATGCGCAGTATTAAAAAAGTCATGTTACACCCTGGCTTGTGCACTACTCTTTAAACCACGTAAAATCTTTTTTTCAAAAATTTGAAATAAGTCGATTCGATAGTCAAGAAGGTTTTACCTAAAATGATGGAGTAATTTCGCAACTACGTATCTCGGTTTGCGGCGTCGCAGAATTCCTATCCTACTGCATTTTTTAAATGGAAAACTACTGTACGACAATGAGTCAGTTAAGTCTTTTTTTTTTTTTTTTTTTTTTTTTTTTTTTTTTTTTTTTTATTGTGTCATTCGAAAGTAGTAAGTGACCGAAGCTTACCGTTTTTTTCCTAATTTTTTTGATAACTGCAAACGGGAGAAAAGTTTATTCGAAAGTGCCAAAAATTAGGGTGGCCTCAAACGGCGTTTGAACTGCGCGCTCGTAGGTTTCGAACGTACACGTCACGATCAATATGGCGGCGGAGTGCGTAGTGGAAGAATACACGGCGGCGCGGCGTCACGTTGGCGGTATGTTTTTTTGGTCAATTGGCGGTTATGTAGGTTACTTTGTTTGAGATCCATATCCATTGTCCTTAATTCTCTAAGTTTTTCAATCAGAATGCGATACAGATGGATGTAGGATATGGAACATTCAGACAGAACTTACTTAACCTCAAACGAGAAATCATGATGTCAACAACGGCGGCGCGGCGTGGCGGTAGTAAGCTGGTCGGCTTCGGCGCCGCCATCTTCCTGTCTATGACACGTAGATTCGAAGATTCACGGCGGTCGGTTCAAACACGTTTTCTAGGACCCTTAAAAAGGAAGCGTTATATCTCCGCGGAGACAATTTTTCGTGAAATTTTGACATGAGCATCGTTCTTCTCGTGCCGAAAACTGTAAGATTCGACTATTTGCAGGCAAATCCGTCTCGAGCTTAACTGATTCATTCTTAAAACCTGCCTCGATTAATCTTTTCTGTATCCAAAGCAAATCCTGCAAAAACTTCAAGGAATGATCTAGATTTGTTATCTTGTAAAAGACAAAATAGAAGCCGAGATTTTCAAACATCGTAAACGAAATACGTGGTTTCGTACTAACATCGTCAAATGCTGTTTTCCTTCTCTTCAATACTTTCTGTATATGAGATAATGCTTACAATACAAAAGTTGCAAATGGACTTCTGAGTCAAATCTTAACGTTCGTGATCAATATCGTTTAAAGTCGGGTTTGACAGACAAGAAGAGGAGATCCATAAGTAGTCTTTTAATAAACTGCAAAAAAGGAGTGCAGTATCAAAACATGTATTGGGAGCCAATTTAAATGACTATACATCCTCTGTTTATTCTCTGCTTTCAGTCGAAAAATGGAAGAAAACTCGAAAAATTCTTACGCCACCTTTTTCCCCGAAAAATATCACAAGATTTGTGCCTCTAATGAACGAAAGAGCAACGATTATCATACAAAAGATGCAACAACATTGTGGTAGTGGTGTCGAAATAGATTTTTATCCGTACTTTTTCACGTCTGCTTTTGACACAGTCTGTGGTGAGCTACTATAATTTTAAGCAAGTAATCTCCTCTATCTCAATATACTGTTAAAAAATATAAAAATCGCTTGTCATCGAAAATTAGCTGTGGAAGCTATGAGTTCTGTATCAATGATGTAGCCACCACACTGTGGATCGAGTCAATCAGAGAAGTCGGACATTATTTTTTTTAATAAAATTGCAAATTTAGTTGTTTATTTCGTCACATTTACAATTTCAAGGGGTGTTCTCAAAAGACAATTTCACGAAGAAACCAATAGAACCACTTTTAGTTCAATTTTATTATAAATAGACTTATAAGCTTTTAAAGTCTCCAAATTTTGTCCGACATCCCCTATCGACTTGATCCCCTGTGCGCCGAGGCAGCCTATTTCAAAATGCGCGCCATATGATGGCGTGCTTATTATCGTTAGAAAGAGGAAAATTTTTTCTAGTCCCAACAAGAAATTTCAGTCGTAGTCATTTGACAGAGATTGTCATTGGTCTGATAAGAAATTTTTCTCGGTGTATTTTAAACTAGTTCAAAGAAAAAGTGCACCTACAATTTTAGGCCGTACCCTAATTCAATCCCGAGAATTTGAGTTTTTTTAAATTGTTCATGATATAACGGATGGGATTGAAAATGTCCTGCACCTAAAAAAAGAATTTTAAACGATTATTAATAAATGCCATAAAAAATCAATTCTAGAGGCATAGCTTAATCGGGGCCTAGAAGCGGGAATTGACGTTTAATATTTCAAAAATATGATTGCTATAGAAAGATGTGCTTTAAATCAAAATTCCAAAACATTCGATCAGAATGAAATCACTGTTGCGTTTCTTTTTTAGAAGCATCTTTTGGGGTTCAGGTTGACTCTCAGCTGGGCCGAAGTGGAAATTGGTCACAAGTTATCTTTCGGTAAGAATCTGGTATCTATAAAGTAATTTTATTTATTTTCTTTCTATGAACACAAAATCACGAATTTTTCAAAATACATCAAAGTAGGAGAAACAAAAATACTCTCAATGTTTTACTTCTGATTATGAAGGTCCTTTAACATTTGGAGAGGATAACGTCTTGTTCCCCACACGATATAAAATGTTTCAGCAATCACTGCACTCCTGTCCAAGAGACTTGGCAACTAGAGCCAAAACTAGCGGCCAGTGCTGCCAAATTTCGGTAAAACTACCGGAATATTGGCATGAGGCCGCCAGTTACAAACACTTTGGTCGAATTTTGACACCCAGGACCGCAAAGCTATTTGCTCCTGCTTCCGAACTTTTCGGATTGCAGATATTACAGAAAAATATTTTGTACTTTATGGACTTTTTATAACGTGCAAGTTTTCGTTATTCGGTAATTACTAGAAGGCATTAGAAGCAGTAATGCATTACAAGCATTTTTTATTATGAGCCACATTTGTTGTTGTTCTCCCAGTGATCAACTGGAGAGAATTTTCTTTTCGGTTCAGCTATTTGAATAATGCAATAGTCTCGAAAAACATCGAAATCTCGAAAACAAAGTGGCAGCCATTTTTTTGTGGGTTTAATAGAGAAATTTTAAGACTCTCGCAAGTTTTTTCAGTGTAATAGTGATTTCCATAAGATCCCTCAAAACAGAAAACAGCAATTGCCAAAAATTTGCAAACATGAGTTGCGAACAGTTAGCGGAGTAAACAAAGACCAAGTATCCCATTTCCTGCTTTCTTTAGACAGCAGTTTTATGATGTGTATACTGAAGTAGAATCCCCTGATATAAATTAAATATTTTTAACTTTCGAGGACAAATAATTTGTCTCTTTTTCGTTATTTTCCAGAATTCCCAGAGAAACTACACTTTTCATGAGCCAATCATAGTTTTCCCCACAGCTGTTGTAAACATATATTTCTGAATGATTATTGTTTTACTAGGGGGCTACGCCCCCTGGCCGCTACGCGGCCCAACCCCCTGAAGGCGCTCCGCGCCATCAATGGGCCGCTTCGCGGCCCCATTTTTACCCTCCTATCAGTGTTAGTTTTATTTTTCTCCTAAAAAAATACGATATGAGGTATACTTTAATTTTAAACTTTACTTTAAATTACTTTAAAATTAAAAGGACGCGTTTTGGAATGACTGCTTGATGAAATATTGCAATAAAACAATGAACAATGATAGTCAGGTAATAATTCAGATTTCATGTGTCGGGGATCGAACCCACGCTGCGGATATAGATTACGCATTCGACGTCTTAGACGACTCGGCCACCGCTCGCCATGAAGTCGTAGATGCGAATCTTGTGTAGATAAGTGTAGAGCTGATGCGCAGGCTACCCAGCTACTGCGCAACCTCCTCGACCACTGCGCATCCTCCCGCGCATAGCGGCAGCAGTCCCGGAGCATTCTGTAAAGTTACTCACTTTTATAACGTGATTTTGAAAAAACCTGGGTCCTATTTCCAAAATCTAATTAGAGCGGGCACATCTAGGGCCAATTACCTGACGATCTACGCAAAAATCATGGAAATCGGCCCGGTAGAACGCTCAAACGAACTATGACAAAAAGTATAAATTTACATTGTTCTTATGAGAGAATTCGCAACTTTACCACGTAATATAAAAAAACCTGGGCCATATTTTGAAAATCTGAAAAGAGTTGGCTAATCTAGAGACAATTGCCCGTCGATTGCCGCAAAAATCATGAAAATCGGCCCGGTAGAACGCTGGAACTAAGCGTCACCAGTTTCGTAAAATTAGGAGGTCTCGGAGCTTATAGTATAGATATTTTGAAAATCTGAAAAGAGTTGGCTAATCTAGAGACAATTGCCCGTCGATTGCCGCAAAAATCATGAAAATCGGCCCGGTAGAACGCTGGAACTAAGCGTCACCAGTTTCGTAAAATTAGGAGGTCTCGGAGCTTATAGTATAGATAGTATAGATTTCAAAATCTAGAATTACGCCTCTTGTAATGGAACGACTTCTTGCACCATGGTTATATATGGACTACATATATGAAAAAACAAATGCTGCAAAGGCGCTGAAAAAGTACTGTAACGATTTTCGAGAATTCTGCAATAACGCAAGTATTCAATTTCACACTTTATAAACTTAACATTTAAATTGTATATTTTAATAACGTACATTTTTCTTAGAATCATTTATTTCATGGCATAATTTGTAATTGGTGTTTTAATTGAAGATTAATTTCGTTAAATTACTTTAAAAAACAACAACAAGTTGCAATCGAAACACATCGCATTACCATGTTTGAGCACTTATCTTCATAATATGTGTTTGGAACGGTAATTTTGAATGGGTAAAGTAGCACTAAGAAGCTTCCTTGCAAAATCCCTACTACCCTGCCCCTGCCATTAGGATGGGTACGCACTTTTTCCCAATGCTTAGAACATTAGTCAAAGTCGAACAAGTACTGATAATGGAACTTTGAGCTCCGAAACACTTCTCACATTTAAGGATTACCGCAAGAAAGTAACCGAATTTTTTTTAAAACGATCCCCTAATGGCGCCCTCCCCTCCCCCCAAAAAAAAGTTTCTGTCTAAATGAATGTTAAAATTCCAATCGGCATGCATAAAATCAACCGGATTTGTCAAAACAAAAGCTGGCAAGGCAAGCCATTTGGGCAAAACGATTGTAATATCATTACATGGTAATACTAATAAAAAATCTCAGAGCTATACTAATGTTCACTCGTCAACTACGATCCTTTAGAATATGCTCATCATTCAAATTAGAGAGTGCATTACTCAACGTTACAGCATAATGATCACTTTAAATGATACTTTATTGATAAGTCATTAAATCGATTGCATAATTAAGACATAATTATTCCCAGGTAGCATTTTTCAACGAAAAAATTGCGTTCGATGAAATCGAAATGTAAACTCAACTTATTACGATTTTTTGTTCGAAAACATTTCAATATATTGTCGTCGATAAAATGGCGATTTTATTTCAAATTTATGGGATGAAATCGCAGTTTTTGTATCCGATTATACTGTAACAAATTGACGTCGATAAACCCGCGATACATTTTCCGATCAAATCGCAACTTATCGGGATCATTGCTACTTGGGGTGGGTTATATTTTCCTGCAGTTGTTTTTATGCTGACTCGTGTTTGTATCTTGACCTCATTACAGGTAATTAATGAAAGTAAAAAACTTTTTTCGAAAAACTGCGGCAACAAAAATGATGATATGAATGGAGACATTGATTGTCCGGAGTATTTACTAGACGCCATCCATGATTCTCAAGAGGATAGTATCTACACTTATTCTGATTTAGACAAGACGGATGAGGCCATGACTTTTCTGATCGCGGTATGTTTCCTTACATTTTATTTTTTGCACTGAGCTGTGATAATATCCGAGGTGCGAAGCGTCTTCGGAGGTTAGACCGTGCAGCGGTCACGGTGCGTGCCCCTGGTTACTTCAATAAAAAGACCATGCAAATGCATAGAGGTTCATTTACGATGAGAACAAGCACATTGTCTTTGCAACCTGGTGGCACTTACCAGGTTTTGAATTCCTACTCTTTTTTTTAATATGGGTACCTTGTTAGACAAAGAGGTCCTTTAGATGAAAACTGAAGTTAAAAATGAAATGATAAAAATGAAAAATAGTATGAAGTAAAAACTGAAGTTAAAAGTCGAAAAAATCTATTTCCAATTTTTGATACAAAACGCTGCCCATCAGTTTAAAAAAAAAAAACTAAGTCAAAATTTCACGGCATAATTTTCATTACCGATACCAATAAATGAATCGCTCCTAACGCTAGCAACATCGTCGGTAAGATGTAACCCCGTTTTTCTCGAAAAAGCCGTATTTTGCCTTCTAACTTTGAATTGTTTTTGAAGGGTCAATACCAGACAAAAACCGGCAGTCAATTTTGAGCCGGTCGTGTAATAAAGATCTCCTTGAATTTTGACTCGCGTCAGATTCAAGGCGGTCAGATTTTCCGACATATTAAAAAATGACTGACATGGTGACATATTAAGTACTTTTCGACTGAAAACTATTTACATGCTGTCCATCGTCTAATTTAGTAGAGGAAAAAGGCCGGTTTCAGCGCACCCATCAGTGTTGCTAATTTTCATTTTAAATGCCTCATCTATTTCGGTCCTACATTCTGCTGGGATAAACCCCATGAGCCGACCCCCCTACTCCCCCTCAGCCTATCG